CCAGCTCGGGGGCTCTGAGGGAGCAGGGACAGAGCGTGCCTGGCATGTGGTGCACACTCAGTAAACGAGGCCGAGGCTAAGGCCAGCAGAGCCTCTCTGACTGGGAGGTGACAACATCCCCGCAGGGCTGACAAAGGGGTGCAGCCTGACTCCGGAGAGGCTGGCTCTCCTCCGTCTGTGGAGTCGACTCAGAGGCAGGGAAGAGGTGCACCCGAGTGGGAGCGGAGACAAGCTACCTTCCTCCTGAGGCCCACGCTGCCCATCACTGACCTTACCCACAGAGGGAAATCCGATCAGTGCCACACGGGCATCGCCTGACTTCATGACATCAAAGCCCTCTCCTTTGGACGAGGACGATTTGGATGGTTCCAGGAGCTGGGCCCGATACTTGGCAAGTTTGGCCTTCAGCAGACCAAGGTGGTACTCGGTGGCTATAAGACAGAGCACAAGACGGGAGGTAAGTGTCCATGGTGGGCTGGGAGGGACCCATATGCTCTGAATGCTGGCCGGGAGGCCCCAGAACCAGGCAGCAATCGTTGTCAAGGAGATCAGAGGAGAAGAAAACCACCGCTCAGTTACAATGCCCTTGGCTTTGCACTTAACTTAGGACAAAAATCTTACTGAAACCTGGAGACCCACTGTCAGGGGTTCTCAGTCCGGGCGGTACCACTCCTGGGGGCATTCTGGGTGTGTTTTCTGCTGTCGCTGGGAGGATGAAGTCCTTCAGTACTCATCAGGCAGCGGCCGAGGAAGCCAGCTGCCCTACAAGGTCTAAGTACAGCAGAGCCAAGAACTGTGAGGTGACTTCCCAAGCTTGGAGACCGGGCCCAAAGCGAGGTCCGCCAGACTCAAGTCCCGATCGCTTCCACCTAGCGGTTCCAGGCTGCTGGCGAGGCTGTACCTGTTGGGTCTCCTCCTGGACGCGCCCCACCCCCCCCCTCCGCCCCGACTAATGGACAGAGCGCCAACTCCCCAGGCCCAGCCGCCAGGAGACCCGGGTTCGAACCCCGACCCTGCCTATCCAGGTCTGACGCTGCTCCGAGAGCTGAGGTGCTCCACTCGGCCCCGAGGTTAGGGCCTGATCCCTCCCGGCCCCGACGGCTCCCGCCCGCCGCCCTGACCGGAGAGGCCCCGCAGGGCCGGCCCTCACCCTTATTCTTCTGCGTGCGGGCGATCTCCTTCTCGATCTCGGAGATCTTCTCCAGGATCCCCATGGCGACAGCTGAACCGGGTGCACAGGCCGGAGAGACGGCAGCAGACCCCCGAGACCTGGCACAGTCTGCTACGGCCGACCAGCGTGCGCCGGAAGCCCACGGAGAACGGCGTCCCCGTGCGCCTGGTGCTCGGGGATTCAGAGTCCGGGCGTGAGACGTCGAGGGGAGCGATATTAGTTCCGCCCGCTAGGTTGGCGGGGGCTGAGGAAGCGAGATGGGCCAGACCCGGGCGGGGCCCGGCCGGCGGGGCGGGGCCAGGCGAAGGTGGGCAGGAACGGGGCATGGAAGGTAGAGAGAGACCCTCCGATGATGGACTCCGCATTGCGGGTCCCCAGCTCAGCCGGCTTTGCTGGTGTAAAGAAAAGGCGCCGAGCTGAAAGCCTAGTGGCTTCTTTTGCGTTGAGGTTAAACGCGTGTCCCCAACTTCGCCTTCCTACCTGCCAATCAGATGCCTCCTCATAGGATGCAGTCGAGACAGCATCTCCTAAGTGCAATCCTTACCTAAAAATGCTGTGTCTGAGTTTAGACTTGAGGAAACATCAAACAAACTAGAAAGTGGTACGTTTTATAGGACAAGTGGGCTGTCTTCAAAATTGTCAGTGATATAGGTGGACGGGATGGGGGAAGGATTGTACCAGAATAAAAGATGTTAAATATAATGTGTGAACTTTGCCTGGATTCTGGTTGAAATTTTTAAAAGGAGTTATGAGAAGACATTCTGAGGACAATTGAGGAAATTTTGACTTTGGATAGAATGTTAGATATTACGGTTGTTGTTCTGTCGTTCGGTTGTGTCTGGCTCTTTATGACCCCGTGGCTGGAAGTCCAAGGTCAGGGTGCCAACATGGCTGGGTTCTGGTGAGGGCCCTATTCCTGCCTTACAGACCGCTGCCTTCTTGTCGTGTCCTTACATGGCCTTTCTTCTGGGAGTCTGCACCAGGACGAAGGAGGGAGACAGAGATACAGCTCTTTGAGGATGCTTTTTTTTTTTTTTTTGCAGGCCACGAGACATGCAGGATCTTAGTTCTACAGCCAGGGATTGGACCTGGGCTCAATGCAGTGGAAGTGCAGAGTCTTAACCACTGAACCACCAGGAAATTCCCTTCTGTGTGGTTTTTTTTAAATTTTTTCTTCTGTGTGTTTTTAATACAAGGTTGTGAGTGGGGAGCAGGATATTGGAAATCATGCTGTGTTCAAATTCAAGGTTCATGTGAGCTTGGTTAAATTTCTTAACTTCTTCTACACTCTAAAAACAGGGGTAACATGGTTGTTGTAAAAGTGAAATAATAATTTGCTTGCTCGTAAGTCCTCCTTGAATGCCAGAGGCAGTCAGTCGAGTCTCCTTCGTGGTGGAGACTCCCCACATGAATCTTCCGCAGATTCAGCCCATGTTTGCCAACGCCGTTATGCACAAGGCTCTGGGCTGAAGAGGGGTGTTGTAAGCCCAGCTTGCTCTTCTACTCCACTGCTGACAAAGCCACGATATGAACCCTGCAAAGTGCCTGACCCAGCAGCTCAAGCTGTTAACAGCGGGGCTGAGATGTGAAGTCCAGTGACTGCAGGGTAACATACTGCAGGGAGAACACCTACATGTTTGGCTCCATGAGGTTCACAGGTGATGGGAGGGGAGAGCCTTTGGGAACTGAGAGGTACAGGCAGGTGTGGAGCCCTGGCCCATGGAGAGGGGGGTCTCTGACCCCAGATGCAGCTCCTGGCTTCCACTGCCACACTTGTGCCCATGGAGGTATGCTATCGATTTACACTTAAGGACACAGAAATGTCCTTAAATGTGACTCACCTTCCAAGAACCCTAGGATCTCTGCTGTTGTGTCTGCTTCACTCACAATCTCCAAAGGGTCTCTTTCTTCATAAATAATGTGGAATCAGGCCACTCCCAGGATCAAGAGAGAGAACCTGAAGATTAAACCAGCCTTTCCTGCTTGGAAGGTCTGCATCCTCCCAAGCTTGGGAAGCCAACTAGGAACCTCATGTGTTCACATCACCCGAGGAATCTTTTTTATTATTATTTGGCTGTGCTGGGTCTCAGCGGAGTCATGTGGGATCCTTTGTTGCAGCACACGGACTCTCTAATTGTGCCTCTTGGACTTAGTTGCTGTGCAGCATGTGGGATCTTAGATCCCCAACCAGGAATCAAACCTGCATCCTCTGCATTGCAGTGAGTTCTTAACCACTGAACCACCAGGGGAAATCCCTCGCCTGAGTAATCTTTGTGAGTTGACAAAATTCTAGAGAGGCTGCTGCTGGATCTCTGAGAATATTCAACTTGTGCATCAAAGGATACCGTATCAACAGAGTGAAAAGTAAACCCAAGAAGTGGGGGAAAATATCTGCCAGCCAGGTACCTGATAAGGGGTTAATATCCAGAATATATAAAGAAGTCACTGACCAACAGCAACACAACCACCTGATTTTTAAAACGTAGAAAACACTTGAGTAGACATTTCTCCAAAGAAGATTTATTAATATGGCCAACATGTTAAAAGGTGCTCCACACCACTGTGAAAGTGAAAGTGAAGTCTCTCGGTCATGTCTGACTCTTTGCGAACCCATGGACTGTAACCTATGAGGTTCCTCCATCCATGGAATTTTCCAGGCAAGAGTACTGGAGTGGGTTGCCATTTCCTTCTCCAGGGGATCTTTCCAACCCATGGACCAAACCTGGGTCTCCTGCATTGCAAACAGGGGCTTTTACCGTTTGAGCCACCAGGGAAGCCTACACCACTAGCCATTAGAGAAATGCAAGTCAAAACCAGTGAGATAACACCACACATCCATTAGGATGTGTGTAATGTATGTACATGTAACAAGTGCTGATGAGAACGTGGAGAAATTGGAACTCTCGTACACTGCGTGTGTTAGTCGCTCAGTCATGTCTGACTCTTTGCAACCCCACGGATTGTAGCCTACCAGGCTCTTCTGTGCATAGGATTCTCCAGGCAGGAATACCAGAGCGGGTTGCCATTTCCTTCTCCAGCACAGTTGGTAGGAATGTAAAATGGTGCAGCCAACTGTGGAAAACAGTATGGAGGTTCCTCAAAAATTAAAAATAGACCTACCATCTGATCTAGCAATTCCATTTCTGAGTATATATCCAAAAGTGAAAGCAGAGACTTGAAGAGGAATTTGTATACCCATGTTCATTATTTGCAATGCCCCCGAAGTGGGAGTAACTCAAGTGTTCGTTCACAGATGAATAGATAAACGAAAGTGGTCTTGCAGTGGTCTGTTTTTCAGCTTTAAAAAGGAAGTTCTCAGACACGTTAAGTGAAACAGGCCAGTCACAAAAGGGAAGATACTGGTGATTCCACTTACATAAAGTCCCTGGAGTGGTCAGATCCATACAGACAGAAAGTAGAGTGGTGGGTGTCAATGGCTGGGGGTGAGGAGCTGGTGTTTAAAGGGGACTGAGCTCTACTCTGGGAAGCAGGGAAGGTTCTGGAGATGACGATGGTGAAGCTTGTACACTATGAATGTGCTTAACATCACTGAATTGTACACTTCAAATTGGCTAAAATGGTAAATTTTTAAAATGGTAAATTTTTAAAATGGTAAATTTTTAAAATGGTAAAATTTTATTTTTGGCTGTGTTGAGTCTTAGTTTCAGTGCCCAGGCTCCTTGTTGTGGCTCAGCAGTTGTGGCACCCAGGCTTAGCTGCCCTGAGGCATGTGGGATCTTGGTTCTTGACCAGAGATGGAACTTGCACTTTCCTGAACTGGAAGGTGGAAAATCCACCAGAATTGTCTTGATTTAGAAATAGGGCAGACTCGAAGCTTAAATACCTTTATTACTTTTTAAAAATTATTTGGACATTGATAGCTCTGCAAAATACTTCTCCCATCCCAAACCCTCACACCCTTTTCACATATCCTCCCCAAAGAAACAAAATACTCATCCTTTTGCCCATTCAAATCTAATTTTTAAAAACATGTAAGATTCAAAATCAAATATTACTTTTCTTTCCCAGAACTCGTTAGTAATTTTAAACCACAATGCACATACTCAATGGCATTTCTTTTTTAAAAATTAGCTTATCTGACTATTTTATGAGGAAAAACAAAATCATTTCAAGGCCTTAGAATATAAACTCCCTGTTTCTGAAAGCAAAAGACATTGAAAAGCCCCTCTGCCCCCTGGAGTCTGCTGTGCACATCACCACGGAACCAGCACTGCACGGGAGGGAGGCGCCACTCAGTCCGGCCGTCCACAGGTGAAGACACGTGGGGCTGGAGAGGGCGATGGGTGGGACGGGTGGCTCTGGGCAGAGGCGGGCTGGGCGTGCGGAGCAGAGCAGGGGAGCAGGAGCTGGGTCCTGAGTGGGGAGGGGAGGTGGCGGGGAGCCTGCACCCGCACTGGTTTCTCTGTGATGAACAAAAGTGTCCACCAGAAGCATTGCACGTAAAACCAGAGGTGCGTGGATTACTGAGGCAGCTCGGGAAAGAGTGACCGCAGCTGGGGGTGACGGTCCAAGCTCCCCGGGAACTAAGGGTGGAGGGTCTGGGGCTTCCTCGGGGGATATGGAAACCCCTGCTTCTGCACCCCTGACAGTCGGGATTTTACGAGAACCAACCTTCATCACAGGTGTGTCCCAAAGAGCTGGCAAACGTACCACATCTTCATCCCCAAAACCACTGCATTTGACCCCTGGCTCAGCAAGGAAGTCAGCCCACAGCAGAGCCCGGCCCACTCAGGCCGCCGAGCAGCAGCAGCATGCCGACACCCTGTCTAGCCCACCGGCTGCCCACTCACGGCCACACACATGGGCCCCAACCAGTTCCGGGAGGCGGGGAGGGGCCGCCTCCCCCTCAGGGATACCTGAGCCCTCCAAGGAGCTGGCAAAATGCAGGCGCTGGTTACTCGCTGAGAACTTGGGGGCAGGGAAAGGGAGCCTGCGCTACCCGGCCCCCGAGCTGCCAGCCGGCTCTAAAATTAAGAGGATGTTTCTGACTCATCTCTTGAGACGGACATGAGCCATCCTTCTGCTGCAGCCACCTTCCCAACACTTCTTAAGGCTTCTGACATGCAATCTCAGCAACATACAGCACATACTTCGATAAAGGTTTCTGAGACTAAGAGACCCGCCCCCCGCTCACCTAGACCGGAGGGCTTGGTGCCTTCTCCCTCCGCCCTGGACCTGTCCCTCGCACCACTTCCGCTCCTGTGGGTTATGACAACACTACCTCTCAGTTAAAGCTTTCCTTCCCGGGGTTTCGAGTGAGTCTATAGATCACCAGAAGTCACCAACCCCGCCCCCAGGCCTTGCCACATATGGGGGCTGTAGCAGATGCCACATGAAGCTCTCTAAACGTTTAAACAAAACAAAACAGTCGCGCACACCTGTGCACGCACACACACATACTTTGGCACGTGAGCCTCGGGTTACTTGAGTGTGTTCAAGCTGAGCCTCTCCTGTGCCCCGACACCGCTGAGCTGCGGGTCTAGGGCTGCAGCGGCCCCTTCTGCCTGATGGGAGAGGTTGCCGGGAAGCGCTGCTGTTCTGAGTAGAGAAAGGAGGAGGAACAAGTGCTAAACTGGCCCCCAGAATGGTCCTCATGTTTAGCACTAGAATGGATGCAATGCTGCAGAACGTCTCACCAGGTGACCAGTTTCAAACTGCTGGCTAATTAAATATACATTTACATATAGATATAAAAATTACTAAGTCAACATTTGCTGTTTTCAATGTGAAAACGATAAAATGTAATTCTGAATAATTGTGCATTTGCCATAGGGTCCTTGCTAAAGGAACCATAAAAATAATTTTGTAATAAAAAAATTTTCTTTTTTTTAAAGTTTAGTATTGCCCTCAAGTTCAAAAGTTTGGAGCAAACATGCTGAGTGAGCAGGACTGAAGTCTGTTCCTGCCAGGGACCCGGAAGCCTCAAACCCTGTGGTCCCAACGGCAGGCCCAGGGGACCCACTGGCCACAGGCTAGCTTGGCTCGATCGCCCTCGCTGACCACTTGGCCTGCGCCCCGCACAGAGCTCCAGAGGCACGTGGGAGCTGGGCTCTGCCTTCTCTTGACTTACCAGACTAAGCAGCCGGGGGTGGGGGGCCTGGGTGGGGACCACTGAGCACCGAGGCCCAGGGGGGCTGGGGTGGAGCAAGGGCTGTGCATCTCAGGGATACAGAAGTTAGCTGTGCAGGAAGGAAAAGTGCATTGACGGCAGCCTAGAAACAGCTCACGACCAAACCTCACAAGGAGGGAGGAGGAGCCGAGGTCGCCCTCCACCTGCCCTGCGGGCTGGCTGCTCCACGGATGCTGCGGGCTGACATTCATGCTTTCGATGCGAATCTGCTCGTGAAGAAACAGGAACACACGTTCTCCCGATTCTGGCAGGTACACGGTTTTCCTGGCAAAGTTCTTTTTTGCCAAGTTCAGTTTGTTTGGTTACTGTTCCGAGCCGCTGTCACCGGAACTCGTAGATGGGGGCGCTGTGTTCTGGAACGTGAGTGAGATTTAGCGACTGATACCTGTGGGAGGAGAGGTGGAGGCGTTAGAGCATCCTAAAAACCACACAGAGTGGGGAACCCACCCCGCAGGTGCCAGCAGACCTCATGCCCAGATGAAATGCAAGCTCATCTCTGCTTCCTCAGGGGAACTGAACCAGTGATAGCCTATCTCAGGTAAGGAGAGGCTGGTCCTCTGGGGGAGGATGCAGACCAGGCCCTCTGCCTGCTCCACCACCCTGCTTCCCTCTGAAGTCGTGTGACCCTCAGAGCTCCCAGGGGACCCAGGCACGTCCTGATCTACCCGGAATCTGGAGGGCTTGGAATGATGACATCACAGCCACACCCCCAACCTCAGCAACTCCATCTTCCTCCTCCCCGGACATGGCTGTGAGACTCCAGAGCATCAGGGGCTCTGCGGTGAGTACAACCCCGTAATGGGTGCTCTCAGGAGCCAAACAGGGGAAAGAGAAACAGGCAGGGACAGCCCCCATTTGGGGACACCCAGCATGAGTGGTGTGGTTGTCAGCTCCCTCACTTGTCCACAGAGGAGTGAGGTGCAGCACAGGAAAAGTGGCTCATCTCTCCCCCAAACACCTCAAGGAAGGACGTCGTGTTAGCCGTCAGAGCAGAGCCCTCCTCTCCTGGCGGGCCAGCCAGCATCACAAGGACATCTGAGTGCTCAGGCATGTGGGGACACAGGAGAAGCAGAACCGTGTGTATCCCTGGCAGGAGCAGGAAGCTGCAAATGCCGTGGGATCCGGTTCCCTAAGAAGTGACCGCAGACTCACCCATGACCCAGCAACCTGCCCCAGCCGCACGCCCCGAGGAACTGAAAGCAGGACCCAGACAGGCTTGGGCACACCCACGTCCACAGCAGCCAGAAGGTGCGGTTAAGCCACAGGTCCATCCACTGATGAACAGATGAAGATAACGTGGCTTATCCACGTGACAGGAAATCACTCAGCAATAAAGACGAAGGATGACATGTACTCAACACGCAATACAGGGTCTTCAAAACACAATGACTAGACCCAGAAGGCAAACAGTGCATGAGCCCACATTCGTAAAGCGCTCAGAACAGGCAAACCTATACTCAGAGCAGATTAGTGGTGCCTGCAGCTGGTGGGGGCGGGGAGCTGGGTGACGGCTCCTAGGGCTCCTAGGCTTCCTCTCTGCTAATGGAAACATTCTGAAATCGAGTGACAAAACCGTGCTGACATGAAGGCCCCCTGGACTGTACACTTTTAATGAGGGGATTAGATGGCACATGAGCTGCTTCTCAATAAAGCTGGTGATTTTAAAAGAAGACGAAAAGTTTTAAAAACTCATTTGAAAACTGAACAGGTATTGAAATCCCAACAATGTCTGTTCTCAGAGAAGCCAGGGTAGCACGGAGCCCCTGGGCCCTTGGCCACTCCTGGTCAGCCCTGGGCAGCATCCTTCATGAACCTTCAAAGTATACAAGAGTTGACAGGAAATAAAGAGCTTCAACAAGCAGAGAAATCAGGTATTTGAGGACACAGCCACCCTTCAGGTGGACAGGGCACCTACAGAAGCTCAAAAAGCCATGAGAGGCCCCACAACAGCAGCAAAGGCCACACCTGGGAGCACGTGGCCACCACCTTGGCAGAAGGCAGACCCATAAGGCCCATGGGCCCTGGTTACCAACTGACTTCGAGCAGGAAGGTGAGCACAAAATCAGAAAGGCCGCTGACAGCAGAATTCACATGGGATCTCACTCTTAACCACTGAGTCTGGGAGGAATGAAGACAGGACCCCTAAGACTTAGATAAACGTAGCTGAAAATAGGGCTGCTTGAAAGCATTCAACAGTGAACCCCTGTACCCAGAACTTCACCTTTGCACCCATTTACGCCGCTCTGGGGAGGCAAAGGAGCCCCGGTGTGAGCACTTCGGGAAGTGTGGCCAAGCTCTCAGTCCTTACCACTCTGAGCTCCTGTGGTAGTAGTAGCCCTCTATGGAGGCCGCTGACTTCTGGAAGCAGATGTAGTAGAAGCCGGCAAAGGAAGCACCACTGATGTCCTTGATCGTGTGGTCTGGGACTAGGAACTGCTCCTGCATGCGCACAGAGGGTCAGTGTCACGGCTCCGGCCCCCAGGCCTGCCTGCCCCTTGCAGCTGGCTCTCAGGCTCACTAGGCGACCGTGAACTGCGTGCCACCTATGTGTTCTAGACCAAGCACGGCCCCCACATCTCAAGGTTGCTAGGGTCAGAGCCGGGAGCAGGCTCCGGGGTGGTACTCAGGTCTGGGCCGAACCCTGGCCCTGGCTCTCAGCACAGAGCCTGAGAAAGAGGATGCTACAGGCTTTGTCAGTAGAAACACTGGCGAGATTTCACAATAAACAGCTTTTTCCCACAGGCTACAGGCCTGGGGTTGGAGGTAGGTGGAGGCTCACAAACTCACCTCCTGAGCTTGGTACCTGCAGCTCTAGATCAGGAAGAACCAGAGGGAGCCCACCCAACAGACTCCTCGGGGCAGAAGGGAAACCCACCCCCATCCCAAGCTGGAGGGACCAGGGGCACTGTGATGGCCTGCAGCCCAGGCAAGAGGGTGGCCAGGCAGGCCACTTCACTTAGGGGCTGAGAAGAGGGGTCTCCCAAGTCCATGGGACCCTCAGGATGACCCAGACTGCAGGGTGGAAGATGAAGCCAGAGGGTGGGGGTCAAAGAGCAGGGGGAGGGGTCACAGAGCAGGGGGAGGGGGTCACAGAACAGGGGGAGGGATCACAGAACAGGGAGAGGGATCACAGAGCAGGGGGGAGGGATCACAGAGCAGGGGGAGGGATCGTGGTGGGAGGGCGAACACAGAGCAGGGGGAGGGGATTACAGAGCGGNGTCACAGAACAGGGGTAGGGATCACAGAGCTGGGGGAGGGGGTCACAGAGCAGGGGGAGGGATCACGGGGAGGGGGGAGAGGTCACAGACCAGACAGGGTGAGGCCGGGCCCCCTTACCTTCCACCTCATGAAGACATAGTCCCCACTCTTCAGCTCTTCATAATCAAAGTCGTCTGAGTTAAACGATTTTGCATACTGATAAAAAGCCAGAAACTTGCCCTGAAAGCCAAAAGCAGAGCAAAGGATGAGGGCTGGGCAGGGCTGCGGGCCCGGGGGCGGGGCCAAGGCACTCACCCAGTGCTTCCGGTCCACGTCCTCGTCAGCGTCCCACTTTCGGGTTAAGAAAGGGTGCTTCCTGCTGATTATCTCTCCTTCGAAGAAGGTCGTGAGGGTTGGGTACTCCTGTGGCAAAAACGCAAATATCAGACAAGATGTCCAACAGGCGTTCTAACTTTTCACAAAGAAACGAACCAACTTCGTTTTAATTTCTCCCCAGAACTTTGAAAAGAGGACCACACTGAAGGGCGACCACCCAGACCAGAACCAGGTGCGGCAGCACCCACGGCCGAGGAGGGGGCCTGACTTAAGGGGCCCGAGGTGGAGGTGGGGTGTCTCCTGGATTCTGGGGACTTTGCCAGAAGCAGAGAACCCTTCTTTGGCACGCTTGTGATGTGTTGATGCTTCAGGAAAGAACTTGGACAAGTTACTTCTGAATATTCTAGCATACAGAGCAGATGGTAACTTGGTAGGTTTTACTTTCCAAGTAAAACACCCAGAGAGACTATGAAATCACAGCCCCGTCTTCATGCCCCAGCCTGGTCATCGCTTCTCAGACTGTCTCAGTCTGTCCCGGGGGTGCCAGCTCTTCAGTTTCGAGGGGCAGGGAAGGGGCTGGAGAATACCCTGATGTGTGAGGCACTTGTGTAGTTCTATCACGTGAGCTAAGACAACTTAATGATGGGAAACACTGATGACCATGTCTGCCCTGGGAAACCAGAACCACCAGAAAAGCAACTGAGTGGTCACCCTGACCGGGCGCCTGAAACGTTAACACTCTCAGTAACCCTGCTATTTGTCCCTCTGCTCATACAAAGGCACAGAAGACTCAGAAAAAGTTAATGGAAGAACAAGTAACCACTGTAAAAAGTTTACCATCTCTCCCGCCCACCCACCAGGCAACCCCTCAATGGCACCAGGCAGCCCCTCAGCGCTGCCCACCAGCCTGGGTCATTCCCGGGGGGTGCGGTGACGACCCCCACCTGGCAGAGCACAGGTCACCATCCTGAGGTCCTGGGGCCACGGAAGACCTGCTCTCTTCCTCACACCCATCGGCCCGTCTCGCTCAGCATTAAACATCTACCTGTTTAAATCCATTCCCAAGGCTTTGCCACTTCTCCCGGCCTACCTACCAGGTGGCTGGGCACCCCCACCAGGTACCGCAGCCTCACTGGCCTGAGGCTTCCAGGAAGGCCACGACCACTTTACTGCACACACCGAGGCAGCCTGCCCTCATAGTAGTGAACTTGAAATACTACAGATCTGCCATCCCCCTAAAACTGAAACCTTCACCCCAATGCTGGTGCTGCGTTCCTCAAACACATACTGACACAGACAGAGCAGAAAAATTAAAGAGGACAAAACTGCCTAAGTGGAAACCTGATTTTTAAAGGTATAAACCAAATTACAGCAATCCATTTGAGAAAGGCCTGCTAAGGGAAAAAATGCTTTGTAAGCTGGCAGCTGACTTGAGACGTTAAATTAACGGCTATACAGTATACTGACTTCCTGAGTTTTGAATCTTTGTATTTTATCAAGATGTCCACAGAGAGAGAGAAGGATGAATGATCAAGTGGTCCTACTATGTAATAACAAAGAACAAGCTTATGTTCAAGTCACGAGTTTTCCTAAACAAGTGATTCTGCACTGACCTCTCTCTAAAATGTTCCAGGCAGTCTACCAGAGTGACCACTAGGTACGCACAAACTCTGAGAATAAAATAAAATAAATATCTAATGAATGAAGAAAGGAAGGAACAGAAGGAACCCAAAAGATAAAACCCCTCGCAGGGCAAGCAAGGACATTCAAGCTCTGACTACAGCCAGGAGGAAGGGGGTCACAAAGGGAGGGCAGGCATGGCTAGCATCCCCAGGTGTGGGCCCACTGCGCTGGGACCCCCTCCCCTCACTGGCTCCAGGCTCACCTGCCTGGAGGCAAGTCCAGCTTTCCGTGAAGACCCACCTTCTGGAAAATCAACGATTGACTGACCAGTAAGGCAGTCTGTGGGTCTGGTGGCGTGACCACCTGTGTTCCAAGTAAACCCAGCACAGCCTCAGGAGTACCCAGCACTGTCTGGGGAGCATGTGGTGGTCCTGACACCCCCCAGCTGGGCTCCCAGCCACCTACATTGGGCTCCCCAAAGACGTGCCTCTCCCTACGGGTGGCTGACTGGGACTGCAAAGAGAGTATCACTTGACACCCATTCTTCACAATTCTGGGATTCAGTTTCCACAAGGCAAACAAACTTCCCAAACTGTATGTTTGTGACTCAAGGCAGGTAGGAGGCCAGTCATTTCCAATTATAAAGTTAGTTTTCCCTATTTCCGTACACATGAGGAAGACCATGACTGATCAGTCACATTAAAATAAGTCAGATATCTGCTATTTCCACAACTATAAATGGAAAAGCAAACAAAAACAGCTGTTTGCTTTTTTTTGCCACACCACGTGGCACATGGGATCTAAGTTCCCTGATAAAGGTCGGAACCTAAGCCCCAGCAGTGGAAGCGTGATGTCCTAACTACTGGACTGCCAGAGAAGTCTCAGGTTGTACATCTTAAATGGGTGAATTCTGTGCTATGGGAACTATATTTCAGTTAAAAAGAGTTTTAAAAAAGGTGAATTCAAAGACTTGGAAGACTCGGGCAGGATGACAGACCCTCAAGAAGCACAGCCCCTCTGACGAAGGTGGCTCTGGTGGGGAAGAGCTGGCAGCAACCCGCCCCCCCCCGCCTTGGGAACACGGCTGTTGGGTGGCTTGGGGCGCTACCCTGCATTCGGGCCACCTGCCCCCAAGGGGCCATCCGTAGCCTTTCCGTCTGTGGGATTTTAGTCCTGCCCACCATCTGTGTGCAGCTCGCTGTGACCATTTGGAATCAGGTCCCCATTCCAAACTACAAACTCTGCTGGTTTCTTTATGAAGTTCAATGTTTTTGTTCTGCACTCAACACACACGTATGGCTGCCTGCGAGTTGAGCATGTTCTGTTGCTGGGTCTTCTACAGCACAGACCCAGGTGAGAGTCCTTCCCTGTGCTGTCCTTTGCTGCCTCGACTTGACGTGACATGTTTCCAGAGGTCTGTCTCAACAACCGAATTCTCAGGAGACTCTCAGACAGCTGACAGGAAAGTGGGAGAACCAGGGGGACAGGGAGACGGAAAGCAGTGCTTCCCGACTGCGGGGGGCCCAGCCTGGGGGTCAGCAGCTCCCAGAGCTTCCCGCTCACTGACACTGCGTTCCCTTGGGACCTGAAGCGGGCACCTGGAGCCCTCACCTCACAGGTAAGCCAGCTGACACAAATAGGTGAAGGTTGTGGGGCAGGAGGAGGCGAGGGCGTCCGCCAGCCCCTCACTGTGAGCAGCGTGGCCAGGCCCTCCTCCTGCTCGCCAGTGGGAACACAGAGGGGGCTCTCTCTCGCCTGTAACATTCCTGAGTTCTGAAGGTTGAAAAGCTGGCCTCGAGGGAGGGAGCAACTCCTTCTGCCGGAGGAACCTCCAGGACCACGGTCTCGGAGGGGTGCTGCTCATTCCAGAAACTGAAACTGACCACGATGGCGGCAGCGACGCTCTGATTATATTTTTGTTTCCCTCAAAAAGGATTAAAGTAAAATCAGTAGTGTTGGTCACATGGTGACCTGTTTGTAAACTTTAACGTCTGTGAATGCACACGTCCACACTGCCTGCTCCTGCTCCCTTACAATAACTGCATTCGAGATATGGGGCTCCTGAGTCAGGCCTGCGGAGTTGAGCTCACTGGCCCTTCACACCCAGGGTCCCAGCGTCTTGTCCTCACCAGGCCCCCGCCTGTGGGAAAAGTACTTACCTCAGTAAGGCCTTTGATCTTCAGATACCCGCAAAGGTAAGAGTTCCCTGTGTCCACGTGCTGAAAGGACAGGACACACAGCCTTGTTACAAATGCAGGGTCCACCGAGGACAGTGAAAGCATGTCTGGCACGCAGAGGCCCCTTGGAGGCCGGGGAGTGAGGGAGCCTGGGAGTGGTACAGCTGGGTCTCCCCAGTCCTGCAGCAAGCTGAGTGTTTAATGCTGAGTGAGGCCTCATGTTAAGAAACTAGGGGGACTCCCCTGGTGGTCCAGTGACCAAGGCGCCACACTCCCCATTCAGGGGGCCCAGGTTCGATCCCTTGTCGGGGAACTAGATCCCACATGCTGCAACTAAAGATCTGCATGCCAGCAAAGAAGACCAGGTATAGCCACATAAATACATATTAAAAAAAGAAAAAAACTAGGAACGTTTGTTGCATTCCTCAGATCTGAGGACCCGATAACTTCCAATGCACTATGAGTCAGACACCAAAGTAGTGCTTCAAAGCTGCAGTGAGCTTGGCCAGCCCGACAAGGTCAGCAGCAAAGCACTCGGCTTCACAAAGCTGGAGCAGCCCCATCGTCTGGTGCAATGGACAAAGGTCCGCACCTGAAAACCACGGCAGCCCTGCAAACATCCTCACCTGCTGACATGGGCGTCTGACGAAATGGAGCAGCCAACCTGAACTTACAGGGGTCAGCAAGGGAGCTGTGTTCAAGGACTCACAGCTTGACCCCGGAGCTGTTTCAAGCGTGTGATTCTCACCAAATTCAATACAGTTTGGGTTTCACAGCTGCCGGGAAGGGTATCAGGTGGCAAGGATACTTGCTAATAAGATTAAAAACTCAACTAAATTGGCTAACATTTTGCATGGATTATCACATGCTTGAGAATCAGAATTTCAGTTTGGCCTCCATCCAACCATGTGTCTCTTCCTCTCTGCCCAAATTGATCTTTTTACCAAGAGAGGGTCGACCTAGCAATCAGCCAGCATCTCAGTGAGAGAGTACAAGGTAAAGGCTCTGCAAGAAGATGCTCTAAGCACAGCTGTGTCCAACAGCTGCTGTTCCTAATATTCCTCCTACAGTGACCCGGCCCTCACTTCACGCTTGGCTTCATGGATGGCAGAGGAGAAAGAGAGTAGTCACAGTAACATTTAAAAAAAAAAACGCCAGGTCAGAACCTTACAAAGATTTGAGGAACCCTTTAAATTGGAATTTTAGGGGAAAAGAAAGCACTCCAGAAGCACATGAAGAGAGGCCCATCGTTAGTCATCAGAGAAGTTCAATCAAAACCACAAGAGATGCCACCTCACCCCCACTGGGATGGCTACAATCAAAAAGAGGGACTGTGACAAGTGTGACAGGGACGTGGAGAAACTGGAGCCTCTAACACTACTGGTTGAGATGGAAAATGGTGCAGCCACTTTGGAAATCAGCCTGGCAGCTCCTTAAATGTTAAACAATCACCATACAACCCAGTATTCCACTGGTAGGGAGACACCCAGGAGAAATGCGGACAATGTCCACATAACAACTTGCACATGAATGCGCACAGTGGCATGTTCATGACAGCCCCAGAGGGTAAACACCCACGAACACCCATCTATGCATCAACAGAGGAACAGAATGCTACAGAGTCACTAGGGGACTATGACACAACAATACAAAGGGAGGGAGCACTGGCACCTGCTGTGATGTGGATGAACCTCAAAATACTGTGCTCAGTGGGACAAGTAGACACAAAAAGTTACTGTATGATTCCCTTTACGTGAAAGGTCCACAATAAGCAAATCTTAGGGGAAGAAAAATTAGGGGCTGCCTAGGGCTGGAGTCCTTGGACTGCATGGAGATCAAATAAGTCACTCCTAAAGGAAATCAACCCTGACTATTCATTGGAAGGACTGATGCTGAAGCTGAAGCTCCAATACTTTGGCCACCTGATGCGAAGAGCCAACTCGTTGGAAAAGACCCTGATGCTGTGAAAGATTGAGAGCAGGAGGAGAAAGGGGCGGCAGAGGATGAGATGGTTAGATAACATCACTGACTCAATGGACATGAGTTTGAGCAACCTCCGAAAGATAGTGAAGGACAGAGGAGCCTGGCGTGCTACAGTCCATGAGGTCACAGAGAGTTGAATATGACTTAGCAACTGAATAACAACAGAAGTGTTGGAGGGGTGTGGCAGTCAAGGATTCTTTCTGGGGATAATGAAGATGTTCTAAAATTAGACTGCAGTGGCAGTCACACAGCTTTGGAACCACACTAAAAACTACTGAATTGTATACCTTACATATGTGACTTGTGTGACAGGTGAATCATATCTCAATAAAGCCCCTATGAAAAATAGAAAGAAAGCAGGAAAGAGATGAAGTTACAAAAGTCAGAAGTTTCTAAGACGACAGAGCCCAAGAACCCAGTTGTGGCTGAAAAACCAGCTGATGGGCCAGCTCACAGGCCAGACTATCTCCAAAACAGTAAGACGCTCACCCATCCAGGTGCAGGGCGGTGTTCCTGGGTGTGACCACCACCCCCGCCAGCAGATGGCTGACTCCAAGTGGCCTCCAGCCACTGGCCAGGTCGCTCTGGCCACCCTGGGACCTGCCAGTTGTGCACCAACTCAATCCCTACTCCCACCGGTTCACAAGGGAATTGGCACCAGCAGGAATTAAGAAACAACACACAGGACAGGGAGGGGAACTACCGCAGGAACCAAGACTTGTCTGTGACACCAGGCTGCCCAGCCACTAGTTCCCAACCCCATTAGACACCATCAAACTCAACAAGGGGCCCAACTCAAGATCATCCCAAACATGACCCACATCAGGCACCTCATTTCTAGAATTTTATGATAAGCCACAAAATGTAAGAGAGTCTGTATCTTCCTACTCAAATTCTCACATTTGGAGCAGAAGAGAAGGGAGACTGCCACAGTGGTCGTCTAATGGTGAGAGCTGAAATAACTCAGCTACGACCCTTTTCTCTTCCTGGCCTTGTCTCACAGCTCACAGGATCTCAGTTCCCCGAGTAAGGACTGGACCTGGGCCACAGTAGTGAAAGCGCCAAATCCTAACCATGAGACCACCAGGTAATGCCCATCTTTTCAATTACGATAAATATCATAGCTCGTATTAGAAATTTCAGTTTGTAGACCAGAGACACAATTAACAGAGGTGGAGTTCTCTTGATCTAAAGTAAACGATTTACTCCCACAAAGCAGTAAGATAAAAAAAGGGAGATGAATGATCGGCAGTTGGTGGAGACAAAACATATCCCTGTTGTCTTTAAGGTGGGAGAAAGAAAGGCTGAGAAGAGAGGCTGTTTGAGATTTAAAATCAGTAAAGAGCAAAGGGCAGAAGAAAAATTCTGTCCTCACACAGGACCTACATTTTACATCTACATCCTACATTCTGTCCTCACGCAGAATATCGAAGCTTCTGGAAGACCTTTGAGGGGACAATGTTTGGAGGAGTTTTTGGGCACAGCTTAGGAGGTGAGGTATCAGACTGAAGACAAAGGGGCGAAGGGAGGAGGAAGTGGGTCTTACTGCAGGCCTGGGCAGCTAGACAGGAGGAACAGTTTTCCAGCAAGGCAGAGAAGAAAGAGGATTAACCACTGCCTATCTCCTTGGGCGGGGAGGAAATGTCAAGTGTGCTCCCATCCTCATGACAGGAGTGAAGTGCAGGAAGGGGCCGGGACAGGTAAAGCTAAAGTTCCAAAGCCATTAGGAGCTGGCAGCAGGTTCTCAGAAATCCAGGTCAAATGGGGGGAGGTGGGAGGACACGGGGAGGAAATACCATATGAGAAACAAAAGTGGATGAGTTACATTTCCCAGCAGGAGTATCAGAGACTAAGGAGGAAGTCCTCACATGTGGATCAAAGTTAAAAATACAGTAAGAGGGTCCCCTAGAGCCAGGAAGGAGAACAGGGTGATGGGGAGGTCTGGGCAAACAGATGAGGAGAACAGGAGTGGACTGGAAGTGGCTAGAGGGTGGGGAGTAGGGAGTGTCAGGAGGCTGGGCCAGGAAGAGACTATGGGTTGGGGGGCTAGGACACCAGCTTGTAACAGATTGTGAGGAGCCCACCTAGGATGTGAGAGCCCAGGCTAGGGAGTGGGGCAGGAGTCGGGGTGGGATGGGGGCCCTCAGGTCCCCGGGCTGATGGAGGGAGAGGGCGGATGAAGCTCTGCCGAGGAGGAAACCCCAAGAGGAGGAGGCGGGCCCCAGGGCCTGGGCTTCATGGGACCGAGAAAAACGTGGGAGGCAGCAGGCACGTCTCGGGCCTGGGAGAGTCCAGAGTCAGAGGGAATCCCTGGAGAGTTTCCCGGACGAGGTCCGAGACGGACTGGAAGAAGGACTGTTGCTGGGGCGACAGGCCACGGGGAGGCAGGGCCGGATCAAAGGCGGCCGGTCCCCAGCTCGGGCCCGCAGGGTTGGGGTGCGCCGGAGGGCCCCCGGCAGGCCTGGGCAGCAGGCCCGCCCGTGGCCGCGGGCCCGAGGGGGCGGCGGCGCGGCCCGGTCCGTGGACGTCTAGAGAGGCCGGGCCGCCGGCTCACCTGCAGCACTACCTCCACGTCGTACGAGTTCCCCTTGCTCTTCTGGTGGCCGCGGAACTTGGAGCCGCTGTAGAGCAGGCTGGTGGCCACGCCGGGCTGCTGCGTGTTGATAGGCGGCGGCGGGATGAGCGAGGCGGCGGAGGCGGCCGAGGCACCGGCCGGCGGGGGACACTCGGTGCGGACCGGCATCGCGGGGTCCCCCGGAGCCAGGGCTGGGGGAGGGGGAGGAACCGCCGCCGCCGCGCGGAAGCCGAGGAGGGCAGACGGAGGGGAGGCCGGCGCGCGCGTAGGGCGGTAGGGGTCCACCCGCCGGCCACAAGCGGACCGAGCGCTCCGGCCACCACCGGGACCCCGGGACCTGCGAGCAGGGCCTCCGGGTCCTGAGCGAACCCCCTCCCCGCCTGCGCTCGCACACACGCCCCTTCCGATTGGCTTGGCCGCGCTGGGGGGCGGGAGCAGGCTGGCTCGGCGCTTCCGCCCATTGGCGGGCGGGGACAGCACGTGGCGGGGGCCGATGCCCTCTGGGACTTGTAGTCTCTTTCCCGAGGCGCGGCGCGGGGGCGGGGTCGGGGCGTTTGTGATGCTGATTGGCTGTGGCGTGCGCTGAGGCGCGCGGCGACGGCGCGCTGCGAGTGTCGTGCGCAACATGGCGGCGCCCAGAGAAGGTGAGGGTACCGGCGACCGGTGAGAAGGTTTGTGGAGTCGGAGCACGCAGCGTGTGGTCCCTCCGCTCCGTGTTCCCCGCGCTCTGGTCTCGAGCGGTCGTTCTCTGAGGCCCCCGCGCGATGTGGAGGAGCTGCCTTCGGCTGCGGGATGGGGGGCGTCGCCTCCTGAACCGGCCCCGAAGTGGCCTCACCGCCTCCGAGGGGTTGGAGCCAAAGCCCCCTACCCCCATCCGGGCCTATGTGCCCCCGGCAGGTGAGGGAGGCCAGGGCGGAGCAGGCTGAGGGATCGGCCTTGCAGGGTCACACGTCGGGAGGGAAGTTCTCCGCGAGGGCAGGGATCGCTCCAGGGCACACGCGCGTCGTTTCCTTTTGGCAGGTGCGATTTTTCACTGGGGAAGCATCCTTGTTTTCAGGCGGGGAAATTCGACTTCTGGGTCGGGATTGCGCCAGGGGCGCAAAGCATACTCTGAGAGATTTGCGGGGCAAAGGCCAGTCTGCTAGGCTGCTTTCTGTGTCCCCGCGACCGGTACTGAAGGGGCCTAAAGCTCGGGCTTTTAAGTCTTCCATCCCGGCCGCTTGCTCCGCAGCTGTCCTGTCCCTGCCTCCTCTGACCTCCCAGAACACCTTCCACCTCTTCTAAGGAGTTGACATCCCGTGCCTTCTTCCTGCACTTCCGACTCGGATGAGACTTTATGTAGCGGATCTTTCATTACTTCTAGGGAGAGATTTTGGGATAAGAGTGGGACTGTAAGTAAGTGAAGACAGTAGCGCTTTCCTGCCAGCCAGTTAGTACTGTGCTGAAGGCGAGGGTAAGAAGAAGGTCACTGTGGTGTTGGAGCTGTTCCGAGGAAGCCCGTGTGGCCTCCAGCTTCCTACCAGCTGTCCCAGCCGTCAGCTGCATAAAGAAGAAAGGTCTTCAGAGAGCGTTCCTGTCCAGCTGAGGAGTACACCGGTGAAGTCAAAGCTGAGGGTCTCTGCTTACAAGTTGTCTGTCGTCTGCACAAGTGGTTTAGCTTCTCAGTGTCTGCCTCGTCTTCAGAGACTGCTTGTGCTGGGTTGAGGGAGATGCTGTAGATAGGGAGGCCAGCCTGCCACCTGTTTTTGTAAATAGTTTTCCTGGAACCCATCCCCCCTCATTCATTGACACACACCTAAGGCTGTTTTCACTATGGTGCAGAGTTGGCTGGTTGTGTCGGACACTGGGTGGCCTGCAACGCTTAAAACACTTTGGCTTTTTACAGAAAATGTTTGCCAACCGTGCTGTAGATGCTGGAGCGGTTTGGGGGAAAAGTATTTAGTCATCTAGCCTGTTTATAGTAATTGCTGTAGTAGATACATTTGCTCTGAAGAATTTATAAACAGCTTCATTGAGATGATGCACTTAGAATTCACTCGCTTAGAGTGTACAGTTTAATGGTCCCTGTTGGCTCAAATGGTAAAGAATTCCCCTGCCTTGCGGAAGACCTGGGTTCAATCCCTGAGTTGGGAAGATCCCCTGGAGAAAGGCATGGCTACCCACTCCAATATTCTTGCCTGGAAAATCCCCGTGGACAGAGGAGCCTGGCGGATTACAGTCCGTGGGGTTGCAGAGTCGGACATACTGAGCGATTAAGCACAGTATGCTCAGAGTTCTACAGCCATCAGTTCTAGAACCTTCTTATGACCCCAAAGGACCCCTGTACCCTTTAGCTGCCACACTCTGTGTACCCCCGTGCCCCATCCCTCCATCCCTAGACAACCACTACTTCACTCTCTGTGTCTGTAGATTTCCCTATTTTGGACATTTAATATGAATGGAATGTGGTCTTTTTTTGACTGACTTTTCTCCGTTTAGCGTATTTTCAAGGTTCTTCCTAAGGTTAGCACGTGTCAGTACTTCATTCTTTTTCATAACTGGTAATACTCAGTTTGGGGACACACCAGGTCTTATTTACCTAGTCATTCATTGATGAACATTTGAGTGGTTTCCATCATTTGACTGTTCTGAATGCCTTTGTAAACACTTGAATACAGGTTTTTGTGTGAGAATGTGTTTTCATTTCTCTTAGGAGGTACCTAACAACAGACAGGACGTCCCCAGTGGCTCATTGTTAAAGAATTCACCTGCAAGGCAGGAGACCCGGCTTTGATCTGTGGGTCAGGAAGATCCCCTGGAGAAGGGAATGGCAACCCGCTCCAGTATTCTTGGCTAGAGAATCCCATGGACAGAAGAGCCTGGTGGACTGCAGTCCATAGGGTCACAAAGTTGGACACAACTAAAGCAACTTAGCACGCACGCAAGAGTAGACTTGCTGGATCAACCGGTAGCTAACTAACTTTCTGAGGATTGGCCACACCACTTTCCAAGGTGGTCGTGCCATTTTACATTTCCCCAGCAGTGTGTGAGGGTCCCAGTTTCTCTGCCCCCTTACCGACATCTGTGCGTCTGACTATAGCCTTCCTAGCTGGTGTGAAGGACTGTGATTTGTATTTCCCTGAGGATGAATGATGTCGAAGAACATCTTTTTAGGTGCATCTTTTTGGACACTTGTGCATTTTCTTTGGAGAAGTGTCCATTCAGATGCTTTAACCATTTCTGAATTGGGTTACTTGTCTGTTTATTATTGAGTTGAGAGGGTTTTTTGTATACTTGGTCCCCCCACAGTTGGCCCAGAGCCGCCCCAGGATTGTGGGCAGTCAAAATGTAGCTGTGAGGCATAAGGCCCGCCAGGTGGCGCTGTTTAGAAAGAGACCGCTCGGAGGAGGCGCGGCCTCCGCTCGCGGTACATTGTGGGGGTTGCAGTTCTGTCCCGAGTAAAGGCCTGCCCGGAAATTGAGGCTGATGGAAAAAGCATTAACTGGCCCGGGGAGCCTGGGACAGGACGAGGAGTGTCGGGGGAGGTGACACAGAAAATAGCCTGTTTCTTTATATGGATTGGAGCAACCTCACAGGAAAAAGGGGCCGCGTGGACATCAATTTCCACTTACGCTCTCTTCACAGGAGCTGCTTGTTAGCGTTCTCTGCCTATACAGCCAGTTTTCTGTTGACCGGCTTTTAAAATTCAGTGCTTCTCCACATTCGCATTTCTTTGTATCTATATAGTCCTTAAAATTGCCATTTAAAAGGCACCGAGTGTGGTTTTATCAAAGAAACAGATATTCTGTAAAGGGAGTGATTTGTGCTCAAAATAAGGGTTCAAGGTGATTAGCCTGTCTCTCCCATCTCCAAGGATAGGATTTCCATTGCTGTCAGCTCACCCTCTCATCACTGAACATGTGGGTGCTTCATGGGCTCCTGGTCTCATGACTTGTCTCGTGAGACCCAGGACCTGGGAGGGTCCAGGAAAAAAACCTCCATCTTTTGAAATTGGAGAGTGTGGATTCCACCAGTTGAGTTTTCCAGATCCTGTTCTCAGCGCCGTGTGAACCCCCAACGTGACTCCCTACTCCGCCAGCCCTCCTTGAGGTGAGCTGCCAGGCTCCTCCCCAGATCTGGGCCTCTCCAGCCATCCTCTGCCCCGTGACTGCAGGCTTGCCCTGCCCACCAGCTTTTTAGCTCCGAAACTGCTCTCTGAGGCCCAGCACCTTTCTGTGAGCTGTTCCTTCTCCTGGAAACTCCCCACCCCCACGCCCTGGAAAGCCACCAGTTCAGGTGGGCCTGCCCACTCTCCTGCGGATCTTGGGTGCCATCTGGCTGTGAAGAGGCCTTCCTCTAGCCTAGATGAGACGAGCCTTCCCAGTGCGCGTTTGCAGCTTGTCTGGTCCTCTGGCATCCATGGTTGCTTTATTGTTCGGCTGGATTAGTGTCTGTCTTCCCATGAGACAGGATGCACCTCACGAGCAGGGTGGCTTTTGAGTTCTGCTCTGGGAGGGGGCTGGTCCTCAGCAAGTTTGTTCCTCCCCCCAGCAGAGCCCTGAGCCCACTGGCTGGCATCTCTGATCAGTGCAGAAGTGGCCTGGCCAGAGCAGAGGAGGTGGGCAGAGGACGAACACCCTCTTGAGGGAGACCTTGCTATCCTGGCAGCTTTGTGAAGTTCAGGCTCTGTTGTCCATCTCTGCCTGTAACCTCCCCGGCTGCCCCTCAGCCCCCGGGTCTCTTTCTCTTGACCTATCTCCAGCCCTTGGCATGTGTAGAACACTGCTGGTACTTCCTGCTGGTGGGTGGGCCCTTCCCCCAAGCCCTCCCCCAGAGATGAGTCAGAGTCTTCTGGCCCACCCCGCCAGCCCTCCGCTTCCTGCCAGATCTGGCCTTGAACTTGCTGCCCCGCCAGGCCCTGGAAAACATGCTGGATATAGTCTGGATGCCTCGACCCAGGTCTCCCAACAGATGCGGGGTCTGCTGGACTCAGTCTTACCTGCTGTCTGAGTGAGACCAGACTGGCACATAAAGCAGTGGTCAGTGGGAGCTTCCTATTTTGGGTCAAAGGTATGAGAGAATTACTATTGTGATTTCAGACAAAGGTGGTAAATTTTGCCATCGTAATACTTCATCATGTTGGTGGTCACACCATCTGTAGATTCTAGTGTGTTGTGCCCGGGGGTGGAGGGGTGTTGGAGAAGTCTTGGGGTCAGGCAAGCTGCAGCTTTGTGACACGGCCACTGTCCTTGGGAGCTGGTGGGGCTGTGGCTCCTCCTCCCCTGCTTTTCCCAGTGGCTATTGACCATGTGGAGAGAGGAGACTGGGCGCTGCCAGGGAAGTCTGGATGGTTAGTCAGTGTCAGTTGTGAAGTCATGAGCGCCTCCACTCCTTTAACTGCCCCTTTTGAAAAATCTTTCCCACAGAAAGGAAGAGGTTCTATCAGAATGTCAACATCTCACAGGGTGAAGGTGAGTGGAATTTTCACCGCCTCTTGTTTTTGTTTATTTCTGTGAATGGGAGGTGAGGGACACTTTTCACCTCCAGCCAGCTCCTTAGTGAGCTTGTCCCAGCGCTCTTGTTGAGTATGTTTCTATAAGCCGCTCCCCACGAAGGGACTTGGGGCATCTTGCATCAAATCAAGTAGCTAAATATAGGGGTGATCACTCCATTCTGCCTATCAACCTGAGAGGTTTCCGTTCGATCTTTCAAGGTGGCTTCGAGATCAACCTGGACCACAGGAAGCTGAGGACGCCCCAAGGCAAGCTCTTCACTGTCCCCAGCGAGGCCCTGGCCATTGCCGTGGCCACCGAGTGGGACTCCCAGCAAGACACCATCAAGATGTACACCATGCACCTGGTAACAGGTCACAGCCCACCCCTGTGGCCACCACAGGCTACTTGGGGCCCTGGGCAGAACTAGGAGTCCTGTCCTGATTCTAGTAAGGCTCTGGGAGGCCCCCAACAGACAGCCCACCCCAGCCCCCCAGCCCAGGGCCTGGCTTCTCCGGGATCTTGGGACACAAGTCCTTCCCTGACCACTTTTCCACTGCAGCAGCCACACTTTGTTTGGTTGGCTCTTGTGTTCTCTGGTGGTCTGGGTCAGGAAGAGACGATGTGGGGAGAGTCCATGTGTCCTGGCACGTGGACCCAGGTCCCAGGCAGGCTCCTCGGCCTCAGGTGAACCAGCTTCCCCTGGACTGTGGGGGAGCAGGGGTGACGGCTGCAGACGGAGCCTTAGAGTGACTCTGCAGCCTGCAGTCGACAGGGAGGATCCAGAGAATCTGGCCTGGCCTGGCAGCTCTGTCCCCCGCCGTCTGAGGCTCAGGGAGCTGGGTGGTGAGCGACTTGCCCAGATCCAGCAGTGCGTGAAGGCTCCTGACTCTGGTCTCCCTGGGCCTGGGTGTCCATGGCTCTGAGATGTCACTGCTGTCACAGTGGTAGCACCTCCTGGAAAATACCACAGGGCCTTGTGGTACAGAGCCTGAGACCTTGGGGGAGTTCATTCCTCCCAGAGCCTGGGCAGGGACCTCAGGATGCTGATGGGCTTTCTGTCTGTGCTTTTGATCCAGACCACACTGTGCAACACGTCTCTGGACAACCCCACCCAGCGGGACAAGGACCAGCTCATCCGGGCGGCCGTGAAGTTCCTGGACACCGACACCGTCTGGTAACGGATGTGTGGGTGGCCTTTCCCAGGGCCCCAGCAAGTCCCTTGGGCCTTTTGCTCAGGGTGGTCTCCGTGAGGAGGCAGGGGGCCCTTTAACCCCGGGAGAGAGGACGTGCCAGCTGCACTAGTGTCGGGAGCAGCCCTCCTGTCCGGCCCAGCAGCTGTCCCCCAGCCTGGCATGCAGGGTGCTGTTAGCCTCTGTGGCTGTTGCAGGCTGCACAACCCAGGGGGTCACTTCTGACCACTAGCATGTTCTCACAAGCATGGTCATCGCTTCTCAGGTGGGATGCAGATGGTCTGTCCTTGGCATCCAGAAGCTGGTCTCTTTGGCTGCGTTTTCGCACCCAGGTTTTTAGGGTGTTGATTGTATATGCAAGGAACAATTGAGCCCCCCAGATGCTCTGGGGTTACTGCCCAGGTGGCACTTGAGGTCTGCTCTGGGGTGAGGGGCAGGGTGGGCCCCTGCAGAGGTCGTGGTGCTGCTGTTGGAATGTCTATGCCAAACTGTGTTGAGGACAGTTTGGTTACAGGGAGGGTGCCCTTCCAGTCCAGCTCAGGGAGGGAGTCTTCTTGAGAGCATCCTGGCTCAGAGAGCAGAGCCATGGGAGCCTCCTTCTGCCCTGGGCAGCACTCCCTCCATCCCCCTGCACCCCCACTGCCTCTCTGCCACTTATGCTCACACCAGCCTGGCCTCCCTGAGCTCCCCCATCAGGTTCCTGTCCCCAGCACCCTTGAACTCAGCTGACCCCAGCTCTGTCTCTTGGTCAGAACAGTGGCCTGGTCTCAGGTGGCATCAGGCAGGGCCACCAGCAGCCGCATCTGTAATTGGGAGGGAGGCGGGCTCACAAGGGCTGCACAGACGGCTGGGTCTCGCCACCTCTTGGGAGAGGAGGGGACGGCAGGACGCAGTGATGAGCTGGCACAGAATCCTAGGACCAGGGGTGCAAGTCTGAGGACAGTGTAGTGTTACGAGCAGCACTGGGCAGCGCTGTGGGCCCTGACTAGTCAATAACCAGGGACGTTTGGAACAGTGGGACTCAAAGTCAAGGGTCCAGGGAACCCTTGGAGGGCTTATGAAGCTGCAGGCTCCTAGTCTCCTCCCTGTGAGGGTGTGGGTTTCCAGCAGGTCCTGGATGAGCCCTGGGCCGCTCTTTGAGAGCCCTACTAATTTAGGAGGAAGGCAGGGCGGAGGGGTGGTGGTAGAGAGGTTTTCTGCTGTTGCCTTTCGTGTTTCTGTATCTATCACTGGATGAGAGGATTGTACTTTTTTATTAATGGAGGAACTTTTGCACTTAATTAGCTACAGGGTGGAAGAACCAGAGACGCTGGTGGAGCTGCAGAGGAATGAGTGGGACCCAGTCATCAGCTGGGCCGAGAGGAGGTGAGATGCCCCGCACCTGGCAGCTGGGGTCTGGGCCACACTGGACAGCCAGGGCCCTGAGCTGGTTGACGTTCTGAGTTCAGGGCACCAAGGGGCCTCAGACAGTACAGGCCCCCTTGTGGGTAGATGCAGTTAAGGGCTTCTGCCCCATTAACTGTGTGACTCTGGACTGGTGACCTGATTCCTCTGGGCTTCCCTTTCTGTGCGTGGGGCTCGTGACCCCTGCCTCCCTGGGTGTCGTGAGGAGTACATGGAGGGCTGCACACTGCTGGGCACACAGTGGTGCCCACACTGGCCGCTACCATCCTGCTCGTTGTCACAGTTGCTCTGTGGCTGAATCACAGAGCCAGGTGTGTGACCTGGACACACATGGAGGACAGTCTGGGCAGGGACTTGTGGAAGGACAGTCCAGGGACTGGTGATGCCCAGTGGTTTCCTCCCAGGAAGACACTTGTGCAGAGTGGATAGACCAGTGATGTGAGCAGGGTTAGTTCAGGTTTATTTCATCTGTACACATTTCCTGAGCACCCATGATGTGTCGGCATCCTCTGGTTTTGTAGTAAGAGGCGGAGCCAGTGCACTGAAGGATCAGGTAAAACCTGACAACTGGACGCCACGAGAGCACCGTGAGGATGTGATCCCGTCTCACTGGGGAGTTCAGTGATGTGAGATGGGAGCTGGGTGCCTGCAGGTTTTTGCTGTGGTACGAAGTTGTCCGCTTTGGGTGGCACTTAAGATTTCTCACCCATAATATTAATAGATTACAGGAACATGTGGCCCCTTCCTGTGTTTCATTTGTACTGTTAGAAACTTCAGGAAGAATGTTTCTAAACCAATGAGAAAGATCAGTGATATATGAAAGAAAATTACAAAAATTGCTTTCATTTCATTACGTTTTTCCTGCATTTTACATAGCTATGATTGTTCTTGAAAATGTTTTGTTTTTGAAGCCAGCTCATGCCCACTGGGACAGTGCCTTGTGTGTGTGATGGAGGCTTATTAATAAATGTGTGAAAAAGCGATTGACTGATACAGGATTGTGGCTTAGTCGGTAAAGGATCTGCCTACAGTGCAAGAGACGCAGGTTCGATCCCTGGGTGGGGAAGATCCCCTGGAGGAGAAGATGGCAACCCACTCCAGTATTCTTGCCTGGAGAATCCCATGGACACGGACAGAGAAATCTGTCAGAGTACAGTCCGTGGGGTTGCAAGAATCCGACACAACTTAATTACTAAACCACAGGATATATACAAATACCATTGTAAGGAAAACAATATTTGAAAGAAGCCTTTTATAGTTCACATGTGAAGACTTCCTTCTGAAAAGCAGGCAGCCCACAGGTCTGATGGACCTTCATGCTAATGAGTTCGAGTTTCAGGAACTGCCTGGGCTCCTGCTTCCTGACTTGCCAGCCCTAGCTTCATGCATAGCTGCTCTGTCCTCTGCTCCTAAGGGACAGAAGGTTATAGGTCAGGAGACCTGATAGCAGTGGCTCCCAGGACCCCCAATGGGGCCTGTGTGTGCTGGGCAAGCTGGGGCTTTGCTTCTAGGAGGAAGTGGGGCTGTGCAGACGGACAGACTCATGCAGGGCCTCTTCCTTCTAGATACGGTGTGGAGATCGGCTCTTCATCCAGCATCACGGGGCCCAGCATCCCCGCCCGGACTCGGGAGGTGCTGGTCAGCCACCTGGCCTCTTACAACATGTGGGCTCTGCAGGGTGCGTGGTGTTTCCTGTGGGCCTGGAGGGTGGGCATGATGGGCATGGTGTGCAGAGCCCAGGATCACCAGAGCACTTGGTTGGTGGGGGAGACACTGTCATCTGGTTCATGGACTGGCAGGCTCACCCCTCCCAGGAGGATGTGGCTGTCTCTTCTTCAGGAGCCTCCATTCCAGTCCCCCTGGCCTGGCTCTAGTCATGGGGGTGGAGTGCTCGCTCTGACGGGCAGAGCTGGGTCTGGGGCCTACCCAGGCAGGGCCAGAGGAGGGACCCCTGAGGAGAACAGAGGCTCCTGAGAATGTGGAGGGGCTGGCACCCCACCTGGCGGCTCCCTGCACATAGCAGGACCCTGGGGCCAACCTGGCTGTGTCCCCGTAGGGATTGAGTTTGTGGTGACCCAGCTCAAGTCCCTGGTGCTGACCTTGGGCCTGACGGACCTGCACCTGACGGTGGAGCAGGCTGTACTGCTGTCGCGCCTGGAGGAGGAGTATCAGGTGAGGCGGAGCTGGAGCCCCACTGTGTTGGAGGTTCAGGGTGGTCTCCCAAATGCCCTGGGGCCACCTGTGTGCTCACGGAGGCTAAGCCTGTACACACAGACAGGCACCCTGGTCACCGAGGCTGCTGCGAGTCCATGTCTGATGTAGTGGTTCAGAATGAACAAGGCTTGGCTGCTCTGTCGTTGGCATTTTTTTAACTCAGAATCACCGTGTTTTCTGCAGTCCCCTTGTTACTTCTCCAGCTTCAGAAGGTTAATTGCTTTTACAAATTGACTCCTAGCATGATGAAAAGCCTTTTGTTATGACAGTTTTTCCCAAGTTGGTCTAGTTATCTGCTTGGAAAAATGCTAGGGGGAGAAGCTGGTTTGTGTCACGAGAGAGCCAGCGACTCTGGTGTCAGAGTTGGCTGGGTGGGGGTGGGGGCAAGCAGCAGGAGCAGGAAACCTGGCTTCTGGTCTGGGCTCTGTCCTTGGCTGCAGGACCCAAGTGGGGCCGTCATTCCTTAAACCTCACTTTCACCCCGACAAAAAGTTCTCTGAGTATAAAACGCTTTTCAGATGTTCTGGACATCCCGGAATGCAGGCATATCCCGAGTGTCAGGGTGGGCAGGCCAGGCCTCTGTTCTCACCTGCCATTCCCCTGGATGCCTCCTCCCCTCAGCTGTTGGGGGTTATGGCTCTGGCAGTCACCCTGCGGCCTGTCCTGTCCTCTCCTCAGATCCAGAAGTGGGGCAACATCGAGTGGGCCCATGACTACGAGCTGCAGGAGCTGCGGGCGCGCACGGCCGCTGGCACCCTCTTCGTGCACCTCTGCTCCGAGAGCACAGCCGTCAAGCACAAGCTGCTGCAGGGGTGACACCGGCCCTCGGCCTGAGATGGAGATGCTGTGGCCAGTGGAGGCCAGTTTGGGCTGAACCAGGGCGCAGGTACCCGTGATTGGTCATACTGAACATTTCTCCGCCTGGAAGTGAGAGGAGCTGCCACTCATCTTGTTCCTACTGTCATGTCTGGGTCCCAGAGGCCACCCCGCTGACCTGCAGGACACTCACTGCCCAGCAGGACTTCCTTGTCTGGGAGGTTTCGGTGGCCCTCAACCTTTTTTTCCCCTGGTTTTTAATCAAACTTTTAAAGTGAAACTGTCTGCTTCTGTTTGCTCCTGTTGTTTTAGCAAAGTGATTTACTTTTGAAAATAGAAAACAATCTTTGTTGTTTCTGGGTTAAAATCCTGGGCAAGGTCACCTGCTGTGCACACATCCTGTTCAGGGAGCCACCGCAGGGCTCCTGCGGGGGAGGCCGGAGGAGTCCGCAAGATAGGGCACAAAGGCTCCAGAGCCACCCGGCCTTGCTCACCCGCGCCCACTTTGGGCGCTGCCTCCCCAGCACCGTCGCCACACCCTGACTGTGCTTGGAGGAGATGCTTGTTACCTCCCCACCTCACGGGTAACACCAGCTCTGCTCTCGGCTCCGGAGGGTCCTTCCTTGGGTCCCCACGGCCTCCACCTTGGAAAGCCGGCTGAGCCCCTGGGGAAGGGCCTGCCCTCAACAAGAAGGGACAGCCAAGAGCCTAGGAGCCACTCTAAGCAGTCACCAGCTGCTCAGACGCAGATACAGAGGATAGAGCAAGCTGACAGAAGTGTTTTATTTCTCTACCTGTGAAGGTGGTTGTGGGGGGTGGGCAGCCCTAGTCCAGGAGGTCCCCGTACTCCAAGCTGTCCAGCTCGCTCTGCACGTGGTCGATGTACTGGTTGATCTCCTTCACACGCTTGCGGTTCCTCATGATCTCATCCTTGTGAATCTGAGGGCAAGACGATCTTGAGCCTGTGCCTGAGTGTGCCCCACCTCCACCCACATGTGGCTCCACCCTGGCCTCCAGGGTGAGATCCTGCCACCTGCCCTCCCCACACACCTGCTCACCTTGTCCAGCAGGTGTGTGCACCAGGAGTTGACCCTGGTCACCAGCTCATCCTCGCGATTGTCAATCTTCAGGAGGTGGATGTCATGCGAGGCCCCAACTGCATTAACTATCGTGTCTTTGTCAATGAAGAGCTGGGAAGCAAAGAGTGGGTGAGGGGCCTGGATCCACCCTGAGCACAGAGCTGCTGAGCCAATGGGGAGAGGGGCTGAGGTCCCTGGGGACGGAGGCGGTGCCCACTCTGTGTCCCCCACTTCCTTGCTGTTGGCCCAGCAGTGCCAGTGAGGGGCAAGGGTCCCTGGGCAGCAGGGCAGTGCCCCTGGGGAATGTGCCCTTCCCCCAAAGAAGACAGGACCAGCCCTGTGACTTCACCAAGGTTCTCAAGTCCAACTTGCCTGAAACCTGCCATCAGGTGAGAAGTGTGAGGCCAGCTGGGGGCCTCGGGGCTGCTCTGAGGACAGAAGACCCCATACACCGATGGGTCTCTGCCTCTCTCATGTCAACCCAGTCGGCCTGGGCTCCTGCCTTCATGTTCCCACCCCACTCCCCACTGTGGATGACACTGTGGGTCGGTGCCCCCACCTTCACCCCAGGCCTGGCTGGAGGCCCCCTGTCTGCAGGCAGACAGACCCCTGCAATGCTTCTCCAGTAGACAGAGGGAATCTCAGACCTTAACCTCCTTTGTAGTCACTGCATCTTAGAAAGTGCCAGAACCCCCACTTAGGGAAGGCAGCCTGTCCCAAACCCAAAAGGTTTCAACCAACCTGTCAGTTGAAACCACTTAGTGGTCAGGAGCTCCTCTTTAGTGGGGCCGCTCTGAGTGCTTTACTTATTAGTCCGTTACCTACCTTATCTGCCCTTCTGCAGGTGCGAAATTAAGGCTTGAAAGGGTTTCAAGCTTTCCGGAGGGCGGGCCCCACAACTTCACCGCCCACCATGAGCCCCGCCCACCGGGATCGGGCTCCGCCCCCCCGCAATCACCGAGCGCAGGTCGTCTGGCAGGTCCTCGTCCATCTCGCCCTTGACTATCTTCTCCAGGATGTTGATGGCAATCTCCAGGAGCTTCTCGTGGTGGTGGTTCTCCAGGTCCCGGCACTGCGCCATCGTGCAGCCAGAGTTAAGCCAAGGCTGGGCCAAGCAGGCTGGGGCACCCTCCCCTGGGCTGGCCCAGCTTGTCCTCCCCTTACGGGCCCTCTGAGTCCTTGGCTATCTCCACACCCCCTGGGGTCCCTTCTGGTCCCCTCCCGCACAGCCCTTTGTCCCCGCAGCTCTGAGCTCTCACTCTGTTGTATCCTGAAGGCCTCCTCTTGGAACCACTTCTCCCCATCCTCTGCTGCCTCCTGAGCCGGAAACATCCTCCCCACCTCTCCAGCAGGTCCCTCTGGCCCACCCTCCCGTCCTCACTTAGTGGACTCTCCCTCAGGGAGGGTCCCGGCCTCTGCTCGGCTGCCGCCATCGCTCTGATATCAGGACTGGGCTCAGGAGGACAGGGGAGAACTTCAGGGCCCTGAGTTCAGGGTGACAAAAGGCTGGGCATGCCCCACATGTCAGCCCCTAACCTGACATTGATCTGCTTACGGGTGACTTGTCAGTGGCATCAGCATAGAGGTCGCCTACCCCTGGACCCAGCATCTGCAGCATGGACTGGTCCAGGGGGAGGATTTTGGGGTGTGGTCTCCAGGTGGTCACTCGTGAGGGAACAGATGGCCAGGACTCCTGCTGCAGGCAGCAGCCTGTGGAGCAACCCGCTATCTGGACTTCTGCTCTAACAAGGTGCCTTTGTGCTGGGGGGTCAGGAAACTCTCCTTTAATGTTCCAGAGGGTTGGCAAACCTCCACCTCTTGAAGGTGGGCTTCCTTCCTTGGTGAGAATGGGAGGTTTTACAACCCCAGTTTCAAAGATGGAGATGCCCACTAAACAGGGTCCTGTTTAATCTCACCTTGGTGGAGACACAGATCTTCCTGTAAGTCAAATGGGGCATAGGCAGTTCTGGTAAAACGTGAAGTCTGATTATAAAGGGCCGGATTTTTACTCTCTGCTAGTGTGTCTAGGACTTTGGTGGCAGTGGGAGGGGGCAGGCATGGGAACCCACAGGGGGCCACCACCCCACTTATTTTCATCTTTCGTAGCAGTGCAGAAGCTCTACCCTCTGTGTCTTTGGTTTAGAATGTGGGCGCCTCCCCGTGGATCTGGTGGTAGGCACCATGTTGTGGGCAGGAGCCCCTGGCCCACAGTGCATCCCCAGAGGGTCCTCAAGGAAAGGATATAGGCTCTGGACGTTCTCCACAAAGAGTCCCACCAGGTCGATGATGTTCCTTTCAAACATGTTTATAGTCTCCTGGAAATGATCAAGAACATGTGTGTTTAGACGTGAACTCCACTGACTTCACGCCAGAGCCACAGTGCTGCTTACCGTTTACCGGATGGTGACCCAAAACCTTGAGGGTAAAGACCAACTGCCTGGCCTCACAGAGGGTGGTGACCACCTTCCCTCAGCTGTCACCCTCCAGCCTGTTCTCTCCTTCACCCCTCAGCCTCAGGGCTTCAGTGGGTGCCTTCCCCAGGCCTTAGCCTGTGCTATCTCTCTGCTGCCCCCCCCCCCACCCCCCCGCAAGTATGCACACACAGAGCTTTTCCCCTCCCTGGGGCTTCCCAGTGGCATCTGGCCCCATGGACTGTAGCCCAGGAGGCCCCTGTCCATGAAACTCTCCAGGCAAGAATACTAGAATGGGTTGTCATTTCTTTCTCCAGGGGAATCTTCCCCACCCAGAGATCAAACCGGAGTTTCGTGCATTGTAGGCAAATTCTTTACTGTCTGAGTCACCAGGGAAGCCCCCAGCCTCCATCACCTCCTCCGAAACTAAAGGCGGGAGTCGCTAGGAGCCAGGCTGCCTGCCAGCTCCACCAGTGTCTGCAACTCAGGGAAAGTCATTAACTTCCCTGGGCCTCAGCTTCCTCTTCTGTGAAATGGATTTCTTCCACATAGGTTGTGGTGAAGCAGGAATGGGTTTCTTCACACAAAATGCTTTGGGAGGTGCCTGGCAGAGAGGAGACCCTTGGGAGTGCCAGTTGCTCCCCAGGCCTCTTGCTTTCAAGACTCCCAACTTCCTCCCTGAGGGTGGCCCTGCAGGGCTGCATCCAGTGCTCGCCAAGGCACCCAGCCTCACCCAGGCGCCATGGGGAGAGCTGCTGCCCCGGAGTCGTAGGGTGGTCACGCCCCTGACCTACCCTAGACTCCAGGGGCCGCAGGGAGTGCAGGTTGAGTCTGAGGATTGCGGAAGCCGAGCGACACAACTTAGCAATTAACAACAACAGCACTGAAAAGCAGGGCTCTGCTTGATAGTTTTTTGGCCTTTAGTAAGGCAAGCACAAGTTCTGGAGGACTGGGGGGTGATAGTGAAGGAGTCTTTTGGGCCTAGAAAAGAAGACAACAGTCTCAAAGGCCCTTACTGAATCCTCTAACTTTGGAGAAAACAAAACAGAACTTTAGTTTTGCCCTGATGCTCCAGGCTGGTTGCATCTATCTGGGACTTATCACCCCCTATCCAGAAACCTTCCACCCCCTACACTTGCCCAGAAGACTTAATACCCCCTGCCCAACTACAAATGTCATCTCAACAAAAGAATACTCAAAATATCCCGCCTAATTAACGTTTCCCTTATCACTTCCACAAACCTCCCTATAAATATGAAGCCCCCCTGACACCTCTCAGCACTCAGCCTGGTCGTTAGGCCGACTGTCGCCCCCCCCCCCGCCCCCCGCCTGAATAAAGGTAACCTACTTCTGTTGAGGTCATCTTTCCTTTTCTGCCTTGCCCGAACTATACCTAACAGATAGAAAGGGGGTCTCCCTGCTTGGGAAGGTTGGGGGCTACTACCTGAGCCCTGATGCCAGCGGGCTGTTTTTAGCAGTGCCAGAGTCCCCACGGGGAACAAGTTCTTCTCTGAGACCCAGTGGGAACCTCTCCCAGTCTGGTGGGTCACTGTCTTTGCCCAGCCTGTTCCATTCATCGCTGTGCTCAGGGCCCAGCCTTGGCCGCTGGCTGCCTGCTGAATGCACAGGTCAGTCTGACTGCCCCAGATCAGGCAGCAGCACTTAGTTAGGCTCCTTGCTCTGCCCTGAGATATGGTAACTACAAGTGGTGGTGCCGGCAGCCTTGGCTCCATCCCAGATCTCCAGATCGGGGGTGGGGTGGGTGGAAAGTGAGGCTCCACTTTGTTTTTTGACAGCTCCGTGGGTCTAATCAAAGACTCTCCCTGCCGGGGCTCCAAGCTCTTCCTGGGTCGGGCGCTCACTCCAGAGAGAACCACTGGGCATCTCAGTGGCTGGAAAGTACTGGAGGACAGAAAGCTCTCGTGTGGGCTGCTGATTCACACCGGAGGGTTCTGGCCCCCGGAGGTGTGGCCTTGGCGGGTTCCTTCACTGCAGCCGTGGCTCATGCTCACAGCCACGCCGGGCCCCTCATCCGGTTCCTGCACTGGAATTGCACCCAGGCCCGCCTCACCTCCAGCTGCTCCACCAGCTGCATCTCCAGTGTCATGAGCACGTTGAGCAGCGCCGTGATATCCTCGCTGTGCTCCACTATCTTTGTCTCGATGTTACTCAGTTCACTCTCCTCTCGGATGGCGTTTAAACTCTGCAAACAAAACCGTGCTTTAGGTAGAAATCTATGATGAAGTGTAATTCCTGAAATGACAGGCGGTGGTTTGGTTTTGTGGGTCGGAACCTGGATTCTGGGGTCGGCCCACATTCAAGTGTCAGTTCCGTCCCCTCCATGCAGGACAAAGCGGTCAGAGCAGAGGCTCCACCAGCCGGGGAGTTATTGGGGGTGGAGGGGACAATGGCTTCAGAGTCACCTGGACCTGAATCAGGACCAAGCTGGGTCACTGTGTGACCTCAAGTGACTCTCATCTCCTTGGGTGCAGGGCAGAGAGCCTGAGCATCACAAAGCCAGGGGATGGGGTGGCATCTCTGAGGTCTTGGCTCAGTGGGGCTCTGATCAGGGTGAAGAGGGTTATAAGACAAGGTTGGACCCCCACAGTGCACCATTAGCACGTAGCTGCCAGCAGTAAGCAGACGCAGGTCCATCTGTGAAGAGAGGTGCTAGTGGGCTGGACAGCATGGGTAGTTGAAGCCGCACCCAATACCAGCCGTTCACTAATGAAGGGCCTGGGGGTTCGGCTGCTGGATGCAGTGTCAGTGGAGAGACCCAGCAAGACTGGGGTGAAGGGTGCTTGTGGTCATGGCTGCCCCTTCTGGAGAAAGGTCAGGTTTCTTCCCTAGCTCAAGCCTGACATGAAAGCAAATCCTGACATGTAAAAAATAAAGTCATAAAAGTACCTCAAGAAATAAATGGGTGTTGCTGACCTCATCTGAGGGGGGCTGTTGTGCTACCTAGCACCAGCCAGGGATGAACCCTTGGAGGGGGCTGAGGAGCAGCAGGAGGTGGGAGGGAAGGGAGCCAAGGGATGGACATCTTGTCATTTTTTTCTTTTTTTTCCTTTGACTCTTTGAATAAATGTCACTTTTTGAGGCAAAAAAAAAAGAAAGAAAGAAAGAAATGGGGAGGCCTTTAATAAATAATCTCAGAGTGGAGAAATCCTTTCTAGGTGTGACTGGAAGAAAAGATTGATAATTTCTACTATATTAATTTTTTAAAAATTCTGAATGTCAGAAGTGCCATAGACATAATGGCAAGACAAATAGGAAACAGGAAAATATTTGCAACCCATTCACTGACATAGGGCTAATTTCTCAATCTATAAAGAGTTGCTACAAAGTAATCTTTAAACAAAAAAAGAGACAGAGATAAAGAGATCAAAAACCAAATGGGTGAGGGCATATTATAAGAGCCCAGGAAGAGAAGGCTCCGGTCAGCTGCCTGGTCTGAGGGGACATTTGAGCATCTCCATGGTGGGGGTGTCAGCCCTCTCTGAAGACATGCCCCAGACCTGGGAGCTAGGTCAACCAGTCCGCCCGGGGCTCCAGGAGCACTGGTTGGAGGATGTCCAGACATCCCAAGCCCAGTGGCTACAGGGACCCAACGTGATGGGGACGGGGACTGGGAGACTCAGCCAGCCCAAGGGCAGCTGCCGCCAGGGATGTCGGCAACCACACTTCTGTGGAATCCTCCCGTTCCACAGAATGGAACACACAGAATGCACAAAACAGTTTAAAACCCTCTTCAGGCCAAACGCAACACATATGTGAACAAATGAGCTCCTGCCCTGAGGTCTGAAGCTCTGGCTGAAGGTGGCTCTCATTGGTGGGAAGCCTGGGAGCCCTGTCAGCCTGACCCAGGTCACCAGAGGTTGGGGGGGGGGGTTCCTCCGCTTTAAACTAAGTCCTCAACCAGCTTCTCGCCCCTTTAACCTGGACGCTGTGGGCACTCACGGGCTTGCTGTGCCAGTGGTTTTTGGAGGAAAGGAAAGTCCATAGCTTTGGAACAGGTCAGTAATCCTGTCTGCAAAAGCAACGTTAACTGAAACTGCTCTGCTGGGTACACACGGCCCTGCTCGCGGTGCAGCCCCTCTGCCCAGTCTGCGGCCCACCCTACTGTAGCCCCAGGAGAGATGCCCGGAGCAGCACTGACCCCTAGGAGAGGAAGGGGCCTGGCTGGCACTCATGCACAGTGGTCATCCTCTTTGTTGTGACCACCGGGGTAATGACACCACCGAGGCAAAAGGTCGTGGAGACCCCACTGTGAGCCTGGGACAGTGGAGGAGCCGCAGTGGGTGGGGCAGGTAGAAGCCTGAGCTGGTGAACTGGTGAACAGGGACAATGACCAAGGGGCTTGGATCGTCAGAGGGGAGGGGCTGGGCCTCTGGCAGGGGGACACCTGCAGCAGGAGGCAGGGAGGGGGTGGGACCCACCAGCAAGTGCTTCTCCTCGAACTTGGCAATCTTGAGCTTGCCCTGCTCCTGGTTTTCCTGAATGGCCTCCTGCACACACTCCATGAAGGTTTCTAGCTCTGCCTTCCGTTTCTCCTGCTGCTTCAGGCCGTACTCGAAGATGTTCAGACAGATGATGACAAACTTGTCCTTGTAGGTGAAGGAAGCCGTTAAGGAAGGCTGCAGCTGCCGTGGAGGGTGGACTGCCTGGGGGGTGGGCTGCCTGGGGGTGGACTGCCTTGGGGGTGGGCTGCTTTGGGTGGGCTGCCTGGGAGGTGGGCTGCCTGGGGGTGACTGCCTGGGGGGCAGGCTGCCTGGGGGGCTCTGCCTGAGGCAGAGCCACAGTTGGGATGGAGTATAAGATAGTGATCGGGCGTCTCCACCCTCAGCCTGAGAATTCAGGGAACGTCCTGTGTGGGTGGCTATGGTGACAAGTGCCCATCAGTCACATCCTCTGGGGGAAGGGATCAAGCCCAGCCCACAGCCCCTAACCGTGCAACAGGTCTCCCTCTGCAAGCCTGGCCTCCCCAACTGCAAGCCAGGGTCTGGGACAGCACCCACCCCGTGGGTGGTGACACAGTTGTAAACACTGGGTACGAAGCACACAGCAGGAACCCATGAACAGCTAGGCTCCATCCCCAGCAGCCTGGGCCCTGCTGACCAGACACCCCATGTGTTCTGACCTGGTCCTCGCCACCCTGGGTGCATCGCCCTGGGGCCCAAAGGGGAAAGGGACTCCCCCTGGACTCCCACGCCCAGTCCCTGTGGGGTGGCCATGACCCGGAAGGATATGTCTCCAGGAGCTCGCCCACGCCAGGCAGGTTGGATAGCTTTCTGCCCTCCACGTCCTCAGCGTACATGCTGTCGAACAGGAAGGTGCCGTTCAGCTGCTCCACGAAGGCCACCTGTGGCCAGAGACACAGCGGGCTCACTGGGGCAGGACCCTGTGCTAGGCACCGGGGCCGTGGGTGCCCGGCCCTTGGGAAGGCAGGCAGGGATGGGCAGGTGAAGGGCTGGGTGAGGCCAGAGCTACAGAAGCAGAAAACTGATGGGTGCCGTCAGCTTGATCTTGCTAAGCGGCGGCACTCTGGGAGGAATGAGCATTCCGGGAGAACTGACCAGTGGGCCTGAGGACCAGGGACTGCTCTGAGAAATGGCTGGGCACAGCGTCCCCAGCCCTCGGGCTAGAGAGGGGCCTGGGGGTCATGGGACAGAGTCGGGGGCAGGGGCACAGGTCAGCGTGACTGTCCTGACTGAGGCTTCGGCGGCCCAGGGACCCTGGATACCGGCTGTTTTCAACCAAATGACAGGTTTTTGGGGCCTGGGCCTGGGCGGTGCAGGGCAGCGGGTCCCCAAAGGGCCCCGGGCACCTTGTGTTCCTCCAGCTCCTCCCGCCGGGCCTGCTCGTCTTCTAGCTGCGCCTGCATCAGGTTCTCCCGGTGCTTCAGCTCGTCAATGCTGTACTGGTGCTTCATCTCCGCCAGCTCTTTCTGTCGGAGGAGCAGGAAGGGGCATCGTTACCCCGGGACCAGGGGTCCCTCGGAGCCGCTGGCCTCTCCCGCATGGGCGGGGCCTGGACAGGAGTGGCTTGTCTTCCCTCCCCCACCCTTCCCAAGTATTCTGAGCTCGGGTAAATCAGTGTGGGAGCCCCATGAGCAGGCTGAGTGAGGGTGTGGGCCGTCCCTGGGGTGAAGGCCCCCTTGCAGATCCGCTGGCTCCCCCACCCTCCCCGGCTGGGCTCTTGCCCTCTTTTAGGGGTGCACAAGGGGAGAGCTGCAGTGGGGGGTGCGAGCCACAGGCCTGGGCACAACGCTCTCGGCTTAGTCTCAGCATTTGAGCCCCTGCTGCCCTTCAAAGTATTAGTATTTAGTATTGCCTAAATGCAAAAACTAAGACTTGAGAGTCTTGAAATTCAAAATTTCACAGTCCTGTCCTGTTCCTGGACAAGGGAAGGGCATGGTTGGGGAAGGAGGGGCAACTAGCTGACCCCCCTGGTATCTGTGGACCCCCAGTCTCTGTGGATCCCCACTGGTCTCTGTGGACACCCCCAGAAAGGTTCCTGCGAGCGGAGGGCTCCACACTGAAGGTGGCACAGCAGCCAGGCCGGCAGGGTCAGCACAGAGACCCAGGGACGTCGCCTCAGGGCCTCTCCCCCACCCCAGACACAGGCTCCTTTCTCCCAGGAAAGGCAGCAGCTTCTCATGGGGGGGTGCCAAGTCCCCCACCTCCTCACACCCTGCTTTCATCCCATCCTGCTGCCAGAGGCCTCCCGTTCGGTGGGGTTCTTTTTCCCTGGGGGCAAAGCATCCACAAACTGGTCACAGGGCAAAGGGTAAGACGCTCCCAGCAGGGGTGTAGGACAGAGGCGGGGGTGGCCTGGCCAGGCAGTGGACGGGGTGGGGGGCCTTCCTCCTGGGATGAGGCTCACGCAGGCCCGAGACCCTGGCTCTGCTGCAGACCAGCTGGGCCCAGCTCTCCGCTGGCCACCTCTGCCGTGGGGTCCTGGGGGCATCTCTCTGGAGACAACGAGGTTGGCACTTTGGGGTGCTACCATGACCTGTCAGTGTCGCTCCTGGGGTCACCTGTCGTGGGAGTGAGTCCTGACTGCCCCGAGCTGCTGCGCCCATTGAGGGCTGACTCTCATTGAGTCTCCCAGACTGTTCACAGAGAAGCAGACAGCAGGACGGCAGCGAGGAGGCGGGAGGAGGCCCAGGACAAGGCCTGGCTGAAAGCGAGCACCACAGTGACAGGGGCCGTTAGGGTCAGGAGCCTCCAGGAGGGGCCGCTTTCCTCTCCTCCCGTGGACGTGGCCCTCCCCAGATGCCTGGGGCCTGGACTCTGACCCATGGAGCCGACATCCAAGGGAGATGCTACCATGTGGTCGTCGAGGCGCTGGAAGTCCAGGTACACGAGGTCGGGGAGGTAGGCGCAGATGAACATCTTGTAGTCCTCGTTCTCAGCCACCGGGTTCCCAGACAGGCTGAGCGTGCGCAGGGCCTTGAACCGCCGCAGGTAGATGATCTGAGGGGAGAGTGGGCCTGTGTCCTTCCTCTGCCCTCTGCCCACACCGGGAAGCCACGAGGAGGAGGAGCCCGGTCTTTGCCAGGGCCAGTGGATGGGGTCCCACGCTCAGTGGGGGCCCAGTCTTCTCATCTGTGAAGGGGCCACAGGGGTGTCACACGCAGGTGTTGAGAGGACCCAACGCTGCGAGGGGTGCCAAGAAGAGGGCTGGCACCCGCTCCCCAAGCACCCGCTGTCCCACCGTCCTCCGCTCTCAGCACAGGCACCCTTTCCACCTGGCAAGTGCTCTGAAAGGCCCTGCGCCCTGAAATTCAGCAGAACCTGGATCTACTGGGTGGCAGCTGGTGGGACCACCACTAACAACCATTTAATTTTCCTGTTGTTAGTAACGGGAGACATTCAGCAAGACCACTGGCCCCTCATCTGACAGCATCTCCTGCCCTGTGTGAAAGAAACCTGCTTCTTTTCCTTCCTGAAGGGAATCCCTTGTCAGTTGTTTATTTGTTCAACAAACATGACTGAGCACCTGCCAGCCTTGGGGACACAGTGGGAAAAGAGCCCTCAGAGCAGGAGCTGACACTCTAAGGGCAGGGGACAGGAATGTTTCAAAAGTCAGTAGGGAGACTTCCCTAGTGACACCGCAGATAAGAATCCGCCGGCCGATGCAGGGGACACAGGTTCCATCCCTGGCCCCGGGAGATCCTGCTGGGCAGCTGAGCCCCCGTGCACCACAGCCAGTGGGCCCACGCGCCTAGAGCCTGTGCTCTGCAACAAGAGAAGCCACGGCAATAAGAAGCCAGCATGCCGCATCTGGAGAGCGCGCTGCCCCCCCATCTCCAGAGCTGGAGGAAGCCTGAGGAAAGCAGTAAAGACCCAGAACAGCCAAAAAATAAATGTTTTTTAAAAGTCAGAGTCATCGCTGTTGGTCGTAAGTGCTGGAAGAACTCGAGGCGGGGAGGTAGGGAGGGAGCCTTAGAGACGATGATGGGGTGGGGTTCCATTAGGATTCGAGCCTCTGAACTCTGAGGAAGCAGTGGGAAGAGCAGTGGCGAGTGTACTCCCAGGAGCAAAACCGGCACAAGCGAAGGCCACGCTGTGGGAAAGAGCGTGGCCGGTCCAGGAAGCAGGGAGGGGCTGGGAGGTCTGAGATGAGACTGAGAACAAGGCCAGCGCTGATTCACCTGAGACCTGGTGGGCGGTGGTCAGAAGTTTGAAAGCTGTCTTAGGGAAATGGGAGCTGTTGGAGTTTTCAGGGTATGTGGGGTGGGGCGGGGGGTCAGGACCTGATTTCATTTTAAGAGCTCTCCCGGTGGGATTCCAGTGTTCATCTTTGAGATCACCAAAGCAAGAAAGGTCTGGGAGCAAAGTTTACTGTGGGTGGTTAGAGGGACAGGACTTCTCATCATCGCTGCTGGGTCTGTAAGTGGTTCCACTTCTGTAGATGGCCACGCAGCAAGACCCATCACAATGAGAAAATGCCCTCGGACCCAGCAACTCCACTTGGAGGAATTCATCTCCCACAGGGGCTCACCCAGTCAGCCCCGATCAAAGACATCCCCATGGCCTGTGACGGCATGAGGTCGGAGAACACCTCAGTGTCCACCCATGGGGGCTGGAGAACTCTGCCCTGCAGGATCTAGGCAATGGAATGGCCAGTGGTGTGTGGAGGGCACCGATGACTTGGGGGTGGGGGGCGGGGGGCGGGGACGACCCAAGGCAGGCTCTGGAGAGTAGCTGGACAGGTGTGACAAACGTGTGAAACATTTAGACAGTAAGATGTCCAGAAAGACATGTGTGATTTAAGAGCAATTGTGGCCTCTGGCAGGGGACACAGGGGCTGAGGTCAGGAGCGAGGGGCTCTGCTGTGCGTGCCCTGAGTTCTACTGAGTTAGCCACTTGCTTTTAATGCAATGAACAAAATGAAAACAAGCCTAATAAATGCATAACAGGAAAGTCTATAATCAGATGTCAGAAACTCACGGCAAGTAAGGACTGAAACTAGAGATGCTCTGGGCTTGTCGACCGTGAAGCCAGCGCCCCCTGCCTGTCTTTCTGGGAACCAGCTGCACCTGCTTCTCCTGTCTTTAGGGGGTGGGGGTGTGTGTGCCTGGCACCCAGCACACCCTGGGGAAATGGGGACAAGAGAACAGCCCAGGCCAGGGAGGGAGGGGGGCGCCCACAGCAGGGTTGGGCATGGCCTGAGTCGGTGTCCCCTCCCTGCCCAGGCCTGAACCTGCTCAGGGTCAGGGCCAGTGTCTGAGGATGACAAGTCAGAGGCAGTTCACTTACATACAGGCTCCCAGGTGCTGGACCTACCCAGGCAGCAGCAGCTCTAAACACTCAGAAAGGTTCCCACAAGCACGATTTGGGGCTATTTGGGGTTTACCCTTAATTGAAAATTCCTGAATAAGCACCATTTCCTCTATAGCCCCTCTGTGCCCTGCCCTGCCGCAGCTGCCCTACATGGACAGACTTGACCCTCACAATAGCCTGTGGGGTGGACTGCTGTCCATCCTCAGGAATAGACAGGCACCGAGCCCTGGATGCCGAGTCCCTGGCCCAGGGCCTCCCCTACCCTTAATTGAAAATTCCTGAATAAGCACCATTTCCTCTATAGCCCCTCTGTGCCCTGCCCTGCTGCAGCTGCCCTACATGGACAGACTTGACCCTCACAACAGCCTGTGGGGTGGACTGCTGTCCATCCTCAGGAATAGACAGGCACCGAGCCCTGGATGCCGAGTCCCTGGCCCAGGGCCTCCCCCACCCCGCCCGTTGCTCTCGCTACTCCGCCTGGGGCACTGCTCTGTACCCTCTGCTGGCCCTGCCAACGAGGTGGGGCTGCTGTTGGTCTCTGTCCACACTGGGCACAGGCCAGACGCCCCACAGGCAAGAAGGCCCCCATCAGCAATGTCTGCTGAGTGAGTGGTGGGGGTGGGGCACGGTTGCACCCACATGCAGGCCCCCACGGGCTAAGCTGGTACCTGAATGTCCTTGAATCTGGATTTCTGGCTTTTCTAGGATGGGCTGCGGGGCAGTGGGGAGCCCCCCCACCCCTGCCGGCACCCACACTCACGTTCATCATGTTCCCAATATGGTTGTTGCCCAGTGACAACACCTGCAGCTTGACCAGCGCGTCCAGCGAGTCGATCTTGCTGATGCGGTTGTTGAACAGGCTTAGGTCCTCCAGGTTGACCAGCGTGTCCAGCCCCTCGATGGCCTCGATGTTGTTGAAAGACAGGTCTGGAGGACAGGCCTGGCTTAGGGGGACTGTCCTGGAACTGACCCCCACCTTGGCTCTACTGTCTCCTTCCTGGTCGCAGAGGCGGGCAAAGGCTCCCATCTGTGTGGCCCGCAATCTGGGATGGAAACTCACTGGGGGTGGGTCAGCGCATCTCGGGGAGGGGGACACACTTGGGGCCCGGGCTGCCCCACACTCCAGGCCCAACCCCAGCTGACCTGAGGACCCCCTCTACCGCAGGTTTCTCATCTTTGGGAATCAAACTACTTTTTCCCACCGCGGGGTTGGGGTTTGTGGGAGGTCAGGGCTTCAACACTGTCCTGAACATGGATGGCCCCAAGGCCCAAAGTGGGAACTTTTCATGAGCTTTCAGCTAAAGCCCTCATGTTTAAGGGGCTCTGGAAGTCGTTTAGCCTCCCTGGCCCCTCAGGGGACGCTGTCCTGGGACACTTTCCCTCCGCCAGGACCGCCCCATGCCTTTCCTTGTTTCACCCTCACAGCAGAGGTGTCATCGCCATGCCTTAGGGATGAGGGAGCCGAGATTCAAGGGTGCCAGGTGTCCAAGGTCAACAACATGTAAGGAAAGTGAGGTGCGGGAGCTGAGCTCACGTATCCAGAATTCGTTAGCAGCTCGGCAGGGCAGGGCCTGACTGGGTTCCCCCACTTCCTTACCTGCCAGGCTCTGTTCTTTGCAAACAAGCTGGTAGATGTTGAACAAAGGGGTGGGGGGGCAGTTTGGATTTGTAGCATCTGCAGATTGCTGTGGTGTAAGTACTCCTGCCAGTGACAGGCTACCAACAGGGCATCCCTGAGTGTAGAGTTGGGACAAGATGTGGGCAGTAGGACTAACTGGCTCAAGCTTACCCTCAGCACTGGGACAGCTGACTGACCACCAGCAGGGCCTATGCATGTGGGGGGGGGCGGGCTGTGGGTACGGGGGGCTGTTGGTACAGGTGGGGGCCATGGGTGCAGGCAGGGGGCCGTGGGTACAGGGGGACCATGGGTACAGGGGGACCATGGGTACAGGTGGGGGCCATGGTTGCAGGCAGGGGCCTGTGGGTGCAGGTGGGGGGCGGCTCTGGGTTCGGCGGGGCTGTGGTTGCACTGAACCATCAAACACCCTCTCCTCACCCCACACCCCTGTATCCCAGGGCCCAGCTCCTCCCTGTTGTGGCTGCATCCCTGGGTGACCATCACTGGACAGAGGCTTTCTTGCTTCCAGCAGTTGGAGCACCTGCTGGAGGGGGCCAGCGCCGGGCCAGCAGGGAAGCGGGGCTGTGCGGGGCCTCACCCAGCCAGACTAGGTGCGTGAGGTTCTCCAGGCCCTCGATCTTCTCAATGATGTTGTTGTCTAGCTGCAGCTTCCGCAGGCTCTCGAACTGCCAGAGGTTGTCGATGCGGAGGATGTCTGAAACAATGGAGGGTGCGCCAGGTGGGGGTCAGGGTTTATTACCAGGGTCATGGGGGCTGGATGACGGATGCTGACTGTGGGAGGGGCCCCAGAAGCCCCGTTGCCTTCCCTGGGGTGCCGGGGACTCTGGAGGTATGGGCCCAGCTCCGCGGAACTCAGAGTCCCTGTTAGTCCTGGTGCCGGGGCCACACCGCAAGGCGGAGGCAGGCGGGCCTTCCAGGGCAGGGACTCCCATGGCTCCCCCTTGAAATGCCTGGGCTCGGTCAGAGGGCACAGCAGGGCCCCCTGGGGTGACAAAGGGAATCAAGGATACAGGGACGGCCAGTTGAGCATTTTGGGGAGTGCTCTGGCCACAAGGACCCTGCATGTCTCTACCTGGAATTGCATGCTGTGGGTCTGCCCAAAGATGGGGGCCCACAATGGGCAGAGGAATGGCCCCCAAATGTCCATATACTATGAGGGGAAGAACTGCCCACACAGAGGCGGGCTCCTCACATCACTGATCCTGAGTCGTCTGAAGACCAGTCCTGTTATGTGGCCAACTGCCCCCTTGCTCCTGAGGCAGGCAGAGCCTCTGTCACAGCCACCAAGAGTGCCACCCTCACTCGGTATAAAGTCTAAAAACTACGCATGCTGGTCTTGTGCCTTTCAACCCAGATGGCCTGAATGTGACCAAGGACCATAGACTGTGGACTGTGTGTGGAACTGGGGGCTGCCCGCGCCCACCCGAAACACGCACTCTGGAAGTCCAACTGCAGGGACAGGACGTCCTTGAAGAGAATGCCCTCCTGCTTGGCCAGCTGCCCGGCCTCCTCCCGTGGGCCCTGCTTCCCCACAGCCAACTTGAGCATCTCATCGTCCATCACTCTGGGCTCCATGTCATACAGCCGGTTCATCCTTCCTGGAAAACACCAACACCCTCGCTGAGGCTGCCTCTCCTGCCTCCCTTTGGGGGCGGGGCCTGGCCAGTATCCTTTCACTGCGTCGTGGGGTAGTGTGGCAGCCATGACACTCTGAAGGCAGGCACCTCCCACCCTTGGCTGCTGCACCTGGGCCTCCCCAGACCCCCACTGGCCTGGTGCCCACCAACAATGGTGCACCTCTTGGCTCCACAACCAGACTGTGACCCCTACCCCGGCCCTGATATCCATACTGGTCCCTTTAGCCTCTGGAGCTCAGCTTGCCTGCAAAGCCATCACCATCTTGGGCCTCTGGCTTTCTGTGCCCACCATTGTCAGGTTTCTCGACACCAACCACTGATCACAGTCCTTGGTGGCCCCAGCCAGGCCTGCCAGGTCCGGCCCCCCTTTCCCTGAGAGCCTCACCCCCTGAAGGTGGCCATGTCTGTAAGCACCCCCAACCACAGGTGCCCAGGGTGTAGCCACTGGTGCACACGGACTCAAGCTGGCCGCTTGTGACCCTCCCCAGAGAGATGTGAACTGTGGCCGCAGGACAAAGCACCCGTCAGCGCTGGTTACTTGAGTTAGGAAGGCAGTGGGGGCTAAGGGCTGGTCAGGGACATGGTGAGTGAGAGAGTAACAGGGCCTGCAGAAGACGGACAGACAGAAGCGAGATGGGAACTTGATCCAGGAAAAAAGACAAAAGGACAGACAGAGGCTGCCTCCCCCTCACTGGCTTCCAGGCCCCTCCTGCCCCAACCCCAGGCCCCTGGACCTCTGACCCTAGGCCCCTGGACAGGGCACTGACTTCGCAAGTTAAATCCTCATTTCCCTAAACTAACCCAGGAGGTATCTGTTGCTACTGGTCCAAAGGGATTTGGTTGAGGCACAGTGGGGTGGGTCATGGACGAACCTGCACTGCTGTTTTTGGTTGGACAAAGCCATGGTCCTGGGCAACTTGACCGCAGTCCATCGTTACCAGCCGTCCTAGCACACCCAGAAGGGCTGGACCCCGTGGGAAGGTATGTGCTACTGGAAGTGCCCTGATTCTGCCTCGGAATGCTCTGGACATTCAGTATTCCCCCTACTCTCCACCCCGTTCTCACCTGCCTGCTGGCTTCACGGCCCACCTTGGCCCTTGCGTGCCCACGCCAGGCCTCCCTGCCCTGCTGGTCCCTGATGATGCAGCCCCACACTTGGCTTTTTATTCCGGTGAGCATTGCTGGGGAGACTCCTGGTGTTGGGCAAAGCAGGGCGGGCCTGGCAATCCTAAACCTGGTCTCAGAGACCCCCTGCCTGGCTGCCTCTCCTCGACTCCGCCATGCAGCTTATGCAGTTGTGCATCTTCTGTTTCTGGAGTATCCACGAGCCTGGTCCCAGTGGCTCCAGAGCAGGCACAGCCTCCCTCTTCCTGCACTCACTTCTCCTCTGAGTCTCCCCTCTTACAGGTCCCTTCACACTATCTCATCTCCTTCAAGTGATTGACTCAACCCCTGAAAGACATTTCTAGTCCTCTACCTCTCTCTATCTCCCCATTCTTTGGAGACAATTTTTCTAAAATTTCCCATAACTTGACACCAGCTTGTCTCTGGGGAAATTTTAATGTGCTGTATTTGGCAGATGCTACTTGAAAGTGTTTGTGCTTTATTTTTACCTTTTTTTCCTTTACAGACAAGCGCTGTGCTTTGGGAAATGATTCTACTCTGATTTCAAAACTTTGGCTGACTTCTCATCTCTCCTGTCACACAAGGCCCTGGTCCCTGAGCCAGGTCGAGCCTGCTTCCAGTCAGGCCCAACAATCATCACACAGTGTGGAACAGCTGTGTTTCTTATACACACCACAGCTGGATCGCACCCTTGGGCAACTGACTGCTTTCCAAGCCTTCAACCTCCCATCTGTAAAAGAAGGGTAACTCCTCCCTCCAACATTTGTTTAAGATCATTTATTTAGTCCACGAATGTGCAACAAATAGCCACCACATGCGTGGATAAGACTTGGTTAGTGGGTTTAGGAGTATTGTGATTTGTAGACCTCCTTACCTCTGTTTCAGACCCAACTCAGATGATCATACAAACCTTAATTATAAGTGGTGACAAGTCTGTGGGTGTAGGGAACTGTGACAACATACTTGTGGGGACCTGGGCTGAGACCTGGAGGATGGGCAGGAGAGAAGGAGGAGGGGTATTTGGGGTGAGGGTCCTGAGCTGGGAGAGGAGGAGGCAGGTTCCCCCGGGATGCCCAGAGTGGCAAGGCCTCTTGTGTGACCATCCCAGGATCCCTAGGAAGCTCCGAGGCATGATGAGGACAGTGACGTGATCAGAGTTTAATTTGAAGAAGCTCATTCTGGCTTGTTGCACTGAGAATGTCAAGAGTCGAGAGGTGACTGGGTTGCAGGTAAGAAGTGGGTTTTGAGAGACATCTAGAAACGTAGTTTATGTGAGGGACTGACTCTGCAGTTTTCAGGTAAGAAAATGGAAGCTGGTTAAGGAGATCAAGTGACACCCATGCTGACAGACACATCCTGTGCATGCAGAGGCAGGAGGTCGGGCATGCAGAGCTCAGGCTCTTAATCAGACTCAACTGCGCCCCCACGCTGTGGGTCATTGTCACAGTTCACACTATTTCTCATAACTGTTCCAGGTTTGGCCCCAAACCAGGACAATTCTCCCCTGGGTGGTTTATCAGTACTTCCCCACCCAGCCGGGGCTGCTGTTGACTTGCCTGACAGTAGTGTTGTTGTGGGCAGGGAGAACAGCCAAGAGCCTTACACCTCCTCACGGAGAACCAGATCCTGAATCGTCCAGCGAAACAAGGACTTGGCATCAACAGGACCTGGAAAATGGAGCCCCTATTGGCCGTGAATTGATAAGAGAAAACCCACCCTCTTCTGAGTGCTCACCGCGCTCTGGAGTAACGTTCATGATCAAATTACAGGTCTGGTCTGGGAGCCAGCAGAGAAGGGAGCCCTATTGCCCTGACTGTCCAGACGGGGAAACTGAGGCCCGGGAAGGGAGCTGCTGACGGGGCATCCACGTTCCAAGCCAAAACCCTTCACTAAGAGGAAGGGTAGCTCTAAGGAAGAGGTCAGTGATGTCCTCCTGAAGAGGGATCAGTGGGCCGGGTACCTCTCTCCGGCCCGGAGGCCGGGGGTGGGACCTTAAAGTTCTCGTTGGGGCCTGCGCACATAGGAAACGCTTCCCGAGTTTCTCTCCCCACGAGGCCTAAAGGCCCTGACTGGTGTGGGGCGGCCAGCAGGCTCCTCCGTGAAAACGTCAAGTCCTTCAGCAGCCTCTCGGCTCCGGGCTCTCAGCGTCTCTGGCACAGTCCGCCACCTGCTCCTGGTAGCTGAGCTGGGTTGCTAGGAGAACCAAGCGCCGCACTCCGTTGCTAGGGGGAAGTCAGGGAGTAGACATCCTGGGTGAAAGTTGACTGCCACGTGATCATATTTCTGGGCGGGGAATGTCACTCAGCACCAACCAGCCTTAGAGAAAACAAATGTTTGTCCAATCAGCACTCTCTATGGGCGGGGAACTTACTAGCCCCGCCCTCCCCTGCCCGCTTTTTGAGTGAATGATTTGATTCTTGTCCAGTAACATTAAGGATTTACTCGATTGACCAGTACATAAATGAATCAAAATACACAGACTCTCGTCGGGAGGCGGACCAGGGGAGGTGACGGAAATTCCTGTGACTTAGCTAGCCACCCAGCCCAATCGGACGCCGCGGGGTGGGCGGGACTTCGCGTAGGGTGGTGTGGTTACCAATCGGAAGAGGGCAAGACACTTCTCGCCCAGTAGGGACAGGTGGGGCGGGGCCAGCGGCGGGCACCGGCGTTCCAGAGGGTTGGGCCCGGGCAAGTGTCAGTCAGGCCGGGAGCGCGGCAGCGGACGCGGAGACCCGGCGGCTGACGCGTGGGGGCCGCTGCCGAGCCGTCCGCCCAAGATGGAGTTCCTCCTGGGGAACCCGTTCAGCACGCCGGTGGGGCAGTGCCTCGGTAAGGCCCCCACCGCGGCGTCCCGAGGCCTGGGCGGTGCTCCGCGCGTTCGTGCGCGGAGGGGCCCAGCCCCGCGCCCCAGCCCGGCCGCCCCGGTCCCAGCGGGCTCCCTGCCCCGGGCCCGCCGGGCTAAGCCACTCTCAGCGGCGGGGAGCGGGCGGGCGGCGCGCCCCTGGGAAGGCTGGCGGGGGTGGGGGCGGCCGTGCCGGCTGAAGACCGGATCCCGGGCCTGGGAGCCTTGCCGCCGACTCTCCCCGTGACCTTGTGCGAGTCGCTGCCCTGTCAGGTCTGAAGTTCCGTCTGTCAGAGGTGGTCCTCACGTCCCTGGGGCCACTGCCTCCCTGGTGGCTGTCGCTTCCCAGTCCTCAAGTCTGCAGACGCCGGCCTTCTGGGGGCAGGTGGAGAGGGGGGTACTCGGCAGTGCAAACCCTCGGGGCCCTGGGCACCGGGATGACCAGCATCCCGGTGAGGAAGCCCGAGGTGGAGGTGAAGGACCACCAGAGAGGCCCGCCCAGTGGAATTTCCTGACTGACGAGAGCAACGTGCCTTTTCACCCAAGGCGGGAGCTCACGCCAGGCGTGATCTGTCAAGAATGTGGATTGGTTTCTTTTAAAGCTGGAATCCTCCTGGTTGGTGGAAGGGCTGGTAAAACGCCTTCTATGAGCAGGGACCTTTGGCGTCCTTATGGGCCTGGCTAGATTAGGCTGGAGTGATTTGCCTATTTCCTGCTTTGTAAATTTCCAGCTTACTTTTCAGCCTTTAGTGGGCCTGTGAAACTATTGAAGCCTCTCCCGTTGGCTGACTGGCACCTGGGAGCCTTCCACTGCTCACTGGTATAGGGTCTCTGATAGGGGTGATGGACACTGGACCCTGGAGGGTCTTTTCCAGCCTTTCTGGAGGTTCCTACCCCCACTTTCTTCTTCCTCAGGTGCTCTTTCACGGCATCTGTATTCCAGAAACTCATTTCTGATATTGAATTCCAAGCAGTTGTGGGAGGGAGCCAGTAAACTTGGGGGGATTTTTTTTTTCCTTTTCTGTCTCCTTTATAATAGGAGGCTCTGTTACTACCTTTGAAACACCAAGGTAGCTGTTGAGGGGTATAAGTTAAAGGAGATTTTAAAGTATACAAAATAAGGGATATACGGGTGGGCAATGAAAAGAGCATGACACTTCACTCAGGAGGACCTGGGGTGAATGTTGCTTTGCCCGTTTCAGCTGTGGGGCCCCGGAAAGTGGTGCAGTCCTCCTGAACTTTTCATTTTGCTGTGGTCGGGGGTGGGGAGATTGACTCATCTCTGCTTTGGAGAGGAGATGGGGGACCGCAGGCCCATCTGTGACCAGGCCCCAAGTCTACCATCCCTTAGGACACTTGACCATGAAGAGAATGGGGCCCCTTTGTCACCAGCCACTGAGCCAGCAGGTGAGGCCTCAGGAATTTCGTAGCTCAGTTCAGATAAGTGATTAGAGGCCAGAATAGGTTCTAACGTGCTCATCACCTGCACCCCCTTCCTCCAACGTGTGTTCTGTGCTTTTGGGACAAAGTGTAAAAGTGACCCTCATGACATTTAGGGCTGGTAGTGTTCTTTTTTTGTTGTTGTTGTTAGTGTTCTTGAGAAGTATATATGCCAGGGGTTGGTAGAAGGGAGGGAGATGCAAGAATGAAACCCCAGCAACAAAGCTGGCTAGTAGGAGCAGCTGGTTTACCTCACATGAAGCAATTTGACCACCATGACTTTCTCCTGAAGCTGTTCTGCATGGTGTTATTATCCTTCTCACTTTAGGATGAGGAAACAGGCTTAGTGGGGCGGAAGGACAGCCTGCCGGGCTGTCCCAGCGCTCAAAGGGTTGATGGGGTCACCAGAGGGAACAGAGACTCGGGGGACAGTGGTGACCAACGGAAGGCCACCGTAGCCAGTGCCGAGTCGCCTTGTGGGGACAGGAGAGCTGTCAGGAGGCCAGCACACTGAGAGGTGCTGGGCCTGGGCCGTTGGTGAGGAAGGGGAAGGAACCTCACTCACAGAGAAGAGGCCCCTGTGCTGGGGACAGGTGGAGGAGGTGAGAGGCGGCGTGGGCCCCTCTGTGGTCCCCTGTCCAAGTGGAGCAGAGGTGGCTGTGGGGGACGGGGGCAAGTTGGGTTTGGGCCCGGGATGGAGCCCTGTCCTGGGTGGGTGACATCGAGGCCACATTCTTTACTGACCTCAACTCTCAGTCTCTCTGGACCTCGTTTTCCTCCCTCAATAGCTGCTGGGGCTTGTACCTAACTCACCCCATCCGTCTAATTCAGCAGGCATGTTGAAAGGGTGCTGGGTGCCAGGCCCCGGGATATAGATGTTAAAAAGCTGCTCTGAGGGGCCTTCTGTAGCAGTAAGGCACCTGCCCAGGTGTCGTGAGCTGCAGAACCTTGGGCTCACTGTCTGGGGGTCAGTGGATTGGCCTTTAGCCTGCCGCGGGCCTGGCCTACCACATGCTTCCCGGCACTGTTGGGTCAGACACATGGAGAACTGGCAGTCATGCCCCAGCTGACACCTGACGTGGTTTCCAGGGCTTTCTGGTCTCCGTGCTGCCCATCGTCCTGGGAGGTGATTCTCGAGTAGAGGCCACAGCTTGGAGCCCAGAGGCACTGTGGTGTAAGCGGCCAAGAAGCACCCAGAAAGACTGAATGCTTTGTTGTGCCACCTGATGCTCTCTTATGAATCGGGTTTCAGAGGGTCCTGTGTTAACGGTTGTTGTGTCCGGGAACCACAAGCCAGATCCAGGGTGCTTGGCAGGTCCACAGCTCTCCTGTGGTGGCTGAAAAACGTTTTCAGATCATCAATTTCCAGGAGTAAAGTTTGGATTCATTTAGATGAGATCAGTGAGGAGTTAGTTAATCCTGACCTGAGTGTTGGAGGACCAGCTCCCTCCTGCTCACTGCAGGGTCAGTGTCTGGGGCCTGGGTGGTGTGGGGTCTTGACTGCTGCGGGAGCCTCCCTGTCTCCCGAGATGGCTGCGAGCTTGATGAGCCGAGGTGCTTGTTTCGAGAGGAGTTAGTTACCCACTATGAGGGGGCGGCTTTGGGGTTTTATTTAGTCTTCCCAACCCTGTGAGATAGACAGGACAAGAATGGGAAGGAACTTACAGTTTTTAAGCACCTACTTGGTGTGAACTGCACATGGGATCTCCCTGAATCCTGAGTGTGACGATCATCCCTGTATCGATTCTAAGAAACTGGAGCTCCCAGAGGTTAAAAGCCTTCTGCCAGGTCAAGGCCAGAGTCCGGCGGAAAATCCCGTCCTGATCTGGGCTTCATTCTGTGCTGCCATGTTGCTTCTTGCTCTGCAGACCCCGAGAGTCAGAGTCCTCAGAATCCCTGGAGAGCTGCTTGAAGCTGGTGGTGGGGTCGGTTGGGGTGAGCTATTAAGGTCTGAGGATGCTGACACTGTGGGTCTGGAGACCACACTTTGAGAACTGTTGCTTTTGATGAAAAGTTCTGCTCCTTTAATCACTTCTTAACCTTTCTTCAAACAGTAAATGTGAGTTTTCTTGTGGACAGACTATAAGGTTGATTATTTAGAATCATTCATGCATTTGGTGGTTCTGTCACCTCTCTGTATGCACCACGCTAAACACTTGCTAGGATGTTCAGTTTAGTAAGGGAGCTGAGACAGGGACCTAAATCAGATAAGATGGCAAGTGTTGGCAGCAAATTGGAGAGATAAATGAAGTAAGGAAACAGGACAGGAGGGATCATCTCCAGCAGCAGTAATAGTGGTTAACGGTTTTGCTGTTTTAGAGATGGGTGCTGGCTTACCATGTGCCAGAGACCACAGTAGGTATGCTGTGATCTTGTGCTGTTTTAGTTCTTACAACACCGCTGTGAGTGTCTACTCTTTCCGCTTCGCGGATGGGACCTGACTCTGCAGCTGCTGTCCTGGGGGATGGCAGTGATGAGGAGGGGCACCCCGGGGGCTGGAGGAACGTGGCGCTCAGGGGGTGGGATTTGGCTCCTGTCGAGGAGAAGGAGGGTTGGCGGGCACTCTGAGCCAAGGCTGGTTGTGAAGGGGTGGGGGTAAGACCAGCCGGGAGAGCAGGGATAGGCCAGGCAGACGGTGTCAGGCCTGATTGACGAGGCTTCCAGTGTCACCGCCTGGTTTGGACCCTTCTCTTGGCGGCACTGAGGAGCCATGGATGATTTCTAGGGAGGGGAGTGGCCCTGCTGTCACTACAGTGGCAGGGAGGGTCCCCTTGGCAGCTGCCGAAAGGCCACCTCTGTCTTACTGTGAAAGCCTCCACTGTGCAGAGTGGGGGTCCGACAAGGGAGTCAGCGCACGTAGTGCCAGTTCCCTGAGGTCTGGGGTAGGGCCCTTCCAGGGAGCCCCCAGAGATGAGAGGGCACCTGCTGAGGTGGGTGGGCAGAGCACGAGTGGAAGTCTGGGATTCTGAGAGCACTCGTCCTTAACTGCTTGGACGGTTGTAGGGTAACCAGCCTGCTCACGTCCCCCTGCTTTCCACGCTTGGATACTCAGACCCGAGCTGAGAGGCTCCCAGGACCTGGCCAGGGGGCTGCCCTGCTTAGAGGGTGTGATGGGGCTATGAGCAGGTGCTTTAAAGACCCAGTGCAGACCTCTGCAGAAAGCTTGAGAACATGCACTTATGGAAAGGGGGAAAGATCACCATAATGTGCTTTCTTATAAATCCTTTGAGATTCTCCTCATCTCACAGAGTGAG